TTTAAAACTAAGAGTAGGTTCACAAATACAAGTGTCAGGGTTCATTTTCATCAGCTCACAAAACGCTGTGAATTGACAGAAGAGTACTCTACATCCAACCACCTGGATCTCATCGGTTTCTCCTGGTACAGATGTCACTGCAGGACATCTTCAGACTTCGAAGGAAAAGAAGCTTGCTGTGTTTTGCATCTGTCACTCTTAAAAGTGTCTGTCAGTTTTAAGCCGGGAATTCTGCTACAAAGTTACAGCTTCAGTTACTGACTACGAAACTGCAATAGCAATTGCCGTAGCATTTACATAAACCATGAGTGATGAAAACAAAAAATGTCCGCTGAATCTCTGACATTACCTTAAACCTTTTATCTCTATTCTCGATTTTGATAACCATCAACATCAAAATACAAAAATATTCACTGACAAGTTTCTCATGTTAATGTTATTTTTCCAGTTTAAGAAGAATTCTAATAACTTTTTTCCCTCTTTTTTGCTCAAGCTGTTGAAGAGATGCTCATTCACTGACTGCTTTTCATTTCAGACAAAATGTCTAATCCTGTATTAGGAAGTATTTGACCACAGAAAAAGCCGCCAAGCTCAAAGAAGTTCAGTCTACTAAGAAGTGGAACTGAGACTATTTTTTATGACTTGGCTGAGCATATCCGTTTAGCGTTGCCAAAGTATAAAAAGACAAAATAAAAGACATATTTTTCTTTCTCTTTTTAAAAACTAGCCACTTTCCATTATTGATCTCCTGAGCTGTAACTAATTCTTAATTTAAAGCCCAGTCAAAAAATGTCAACTACATAAGGACCGTCACAATGACAGCAGACACTCTTTTCAAATGCTGGTATCTGGTGCTATGAAGCAATGAATCACAGCAATATTAGTTAAATGCCATGCAGAAATACATAAACCTTGTCTTCATTTTGCAAAACATTGACTTGATAAGTATGCCTGCAGAGGACGGATTGAAAGGTTTGTGATTGACAATTGTTAAAGGACGGTTTTACAGTGATATATTATCTGGATAAAATTAAACTGGCTAATTTCTTTTTAATTTAAGCTAATTCCATTTGCCCCTGGTGATCTTTGTGACCTGAGATTTTTTAATATTTGGAGATCCTCACCATTTTTTTCTAATATCGCCTTTCAACTGACAAAAATGAATTTGATCTCCAAAGTTCAAATATTTGTGTTCATGTTTAGTTTCATTCGTCTTTTAAATTGACTTGATTCATTGAAGTCAGCAGACAACAACTCAAACCTCCCATTCCTATCGCACACCACATCTGCTGAGTTGGAACAGAAATGCCTGCTTTTCACCTCTGTGGGGATCTGGCACACTTTGATGTTGCAGAACACAGTTTAGCAAAACATTAGCATTCACTTGTGATGCATGACAGTCCAATGTTATTTTTCTGCGCTGCATAAATTTGAGCTGTGAAAGCTGTGTCAGGTCCTATTTGACAACTCATTTGTCAGCCCTTCCAGTGTCCATACGAGCAAACCCTCTAACTGCCCTATAAGGTGGAGCCATCTTTGGACCTTCACCCTTAGTAAGTCACTTCAGAATACTTATTCTTTAGCTTGGAGCAATCAAAGTCCATTGCAAAGCATTTAACTTTGTTTTTTCATGACCAGGCATTATATTTTGAAAGTCTTGCCCTGCTTTTAAATTCAAAGCTCAGCAGTGCAACATGTACGTTTGTTGGCACGTGTGTCATGTAGGAAATGTGCCAAAATATTCTCATTCATGATATATGAAAACAAAAGTTTGTTGAAGTTTTTTGAGCTGCTTAAAAAAAACAAAAGTTTATCTTTTTTTCTTAAATTTATCAAAACCAATGACAAAGTAATTATCTATCTATTTTAGGATTTGAACAAGTGTATTTCTCTTACATGGAAAATCCAATGCAAAGATGATAATTAAATAATAGGAACAACAAATTATTAACCTAGAAGCAAAATGATTATACACAGTACAGTGCCGATTTATTTCCATTATGCATCTCTGTTTTATATTTGTTCATCGCTGTAAAGTTGGAGTGGACTATTTGAGTATCATTAATGTGAGGACACTTTGGTACTCCATTGGCTTCCCATAAATAGATTCAGCTGATGTCAGCTATCTGCTCTTGTATCCCAGCTATATGTATTGGAAGTCTCCACTGGCTAATTTGGACTACATGTCTTGATGTTCATATTCTTGTTAATCCGTTATTAGCTAAAACTCATGACGGCTTTGTATGGGCATGTGGGAATACAGTATGTGCAGAGGGTTCGTTTTCTAAGTTTAATTTGCTTGATGATAAACATGATTCCAAAGACAGATGTGCCCTCTGGATCTGCCGTCCACATTTTCTAATAGTGAGGTGAAGGAAATTTAAAGTTATAAGAAAGTTCCTTTAATATAGAGCAATATTGTACTCACTTATGGATAAGGATTATTGCACCATTTTTTTACCTGTTGTATGAGAGTCATGTGAAAGCAACAAATATCAAGCCTAGGTAAACATAGATACAAAAAAGTAATGCGCACAAGCGTTATGTAGTATTACACAGTCCTAACATAAGAGACAAATTAATTTGAGCGAAAAATCAATAATTTGAGGACCATTTCACATCATCACCAGCTGATTTATTTCTCTTGAAATTATTAAAAATTTGTGATTTGTTTGCAAAATATGTTACTTAATGGGAAATTTTTGTTATAAGCAATCTCTTGTTTTGCTGAGCCTTGTTTCTATGGGCACATTCCACAGAAATTCATTAGAGCCTTGTATAAGCTACCAATTTAATCATGAATTCTGGAGATTGGGCTTAAACTTTTATTGGTATTTTTAACTGAAATTGAACTGATTTTTTTCTGTAAATCTTATTATTTACTTTTCCCCAACCATTGATATTCATCACAGTAGACTCTTTATCTTCTCTTGCCATCCAGTATGTTGAGGCATGTGTTAACAGAGCTCATATAAACAGGAATGAGGACCTCACAGGCATTACTCCGGCACCCTCATTTACTTTTCTCATTGCAGGTTACTCGTTGTGTCTCTGTTTATTGCCCTCTGATCACCTCGACACCAAACCGCTTACTGGAAAATGCTGGTGCGAATGACTACATGGTGGAAACTTTGCAAAGCCTAATAGATGCACTTAGACTTTAGCCATGCTTCACTCACTTGCGTTTTATTGACTTCCCACTGTTAAGCACATACTGCATCAGAGCGGGAACTTCTCAGGGGGTGGAATTGCTTCATAAATGGCTTAAAGTTAAGAAATATGTCATAAAAAAGGACAGGTGGTGAGCACCTACAACACATGCAGTTCGACGCAAGTTACTAAAGACTGAGAGCTGTTGAGTCAAACATGAAAGTTTTAACAGAAAAAAGTACAGTGTTTTAACTGATATTGTTGAACTGGGTACACACATTAAAGAAAGACAATGTAATTGAAGCCCCTAGTTCCCTTAATGAACCGGGGGCTACAAAAAAAACAGAGAACTGGAGTCACATCTGTCGCATTATAGACACCCAGGGACCAAGAAAGTATGACTACAAAAAGGGAGGATATTACAGGGCATCTTTCAGGCTTCCCCAAAGCAAAAATCCTTTTGGACTGGACAGCAGAAGTCAGCAGGACAGAGATGGATCTGCCAGCTGCCTGGTGGACATTAAAACTTAGAAAAAAATGTCTCCTTTGGTACCAGCTCTGTTTTTTTTCTGCTAATTTGCCTCCAGATGGCATTAAAGTCACACACGGCACAAAACACAAAGTCAACTTTTGTCAGCATTTCAGTGACCTTTGACCCCGTAAGGCTGTCATCACAAGACCAAATGGCAGTGTCTGTTGAACCAACAGAATGTCCAGCTGTGACAGCTGCTGGTTCCCTATCAGCGAGAGGTAGAGTTAATGATGTCCCACAGTCGGAATTAAAAACAATCCAGGACATTAAGATCTGCTGGTTTTTTTCACCTCCCGTGTGTTTTGTCAGGCCCAGAATAATCTGTGTCCAACAGCAGAAGCTTTTATCACACTGAGTTCTATCATACTTCCGGTGGGATCGGCACCAAAAGAGGACAGTTTCAGCCCGCAGCGTTTAACAGATCGAAGTTGAACGTCCTCCCACTGAGAGGCCAGGGCATAAAAAAGCGTCAACCCACCATTTATTTAGCGTGTCAGCTTCACATAAGCAAATGGAAACATCAATTTACAGTGCGCCACACTCTGGAAACAGATAATCAACTAGAAAACTATTGGAGGGACTTTGATTCTTACTGTTTAACAATGATTAACATCTCAATTACAATTGATAAAAAAGTGGGTTGGCTTTTTTTGTAATTTTCAAATTTATGGCACCTTGGAAACCTACAGCATGAAATCTATGTTGAAGTTATTCTGACACATTTTTCTGTCCCTACCATCCATACTGTCTCTTTTCCAGCTATGACCCTGAATCTACTCCATAGAACACAGGTAAATTGAAAGCCTTACAAAAAGCTCACATATAAATATATGCATCAACATTCAAGAGACATTATTAAAACATTATGTAGCTTTCCCATTATAACAATTTAAATCACTCCTTAAAATAAAACTCTTGAGGCAATCATTTCAATGAAAGTACTGAAGTGATCATGAGAGCTCGGGGGCTTAATAAGTGAATGTTAATATGCTGTCTAAATAAATTGGAACAGCTTCTCCAGTGATTGTGACCACACAATTTCCACGTGCTCGTCTGGAGTGAAGGGGAAGGGGGGGGGGGTCATATTTTAAAAGGCAACATTACTTGATTGCACTGTAAATCTCAACCCCACTGATTTATTTTAATGATATTCAATTTCTGAGACTACCAATGAAGCCGCTAAAAGCTTTCAATCAAAGCTCCATAGAAAATACTATTTTAAAATTAACTGCAGTTGGCAACCAGTGATTTTTATTTTCTAATTACTGTGCTCCTGTTCAAATAGTAAAGAATAACCTTGAAAAACAGAGCATACTTGTGTTATCAAGTTATTTTTTTTATTAAAACATTACATCCATCTAAATATATTACACTCGGGTAGCTGTAATTTTACAGTTAAGTCGATAAGAGAGGGGGAAAAAAAACAAAAACATTAAGAACCTCAGGCATGACAGCACTTCAAGGTGAACCAACAAGCATGATTAGCCACACTCTAATATTGTTGACACCCAATTTTGAATGAAGGCCTGAGGACAAATGTATCAAAATTTGTCATTCAAAACAATTTAAGGAAGGCTTCGCATATTTATTTTTGACATTTTATATACAGTAACTCTGAGGCAGTCCCAGCCGTTGGACAGCAGCATCCTTCATCAGTGACAGTTAGAAGACTAACTAGAGAATAATTTGGTTTTTAAAGCTGCGGTTCAGGTCTTTGTGTGGAAGTACAATTGAATTCAGTATGATCACCTCAGATGGGATGCTCACATTACAACCTGGGAAGAAAAAAAAGAAAGCATGATTAGATTATGTCGGTGTAATTTTCATACTTATGAGAGTTGTTTTTGTCGATTGTTATCTGGAGGACGAGGCATCCAAAGAATGCCAAAAATGAATCAGGTCAGTGGACAAAGCTGCGGAGTGCACAGTGCAACAACAATAAAACACACACACGGATCCCAAAGCAGCTTTGTGAAATCACAAATGTACACAGTAATTCTGCATCAAGTCTGGTGTTTCAAGCTTTAGCTTTACAACATTCCATCTTCCTAAAACAAATGACCCATCTGTGGTGAAAACTAGTAAAAAAACAAACAAAACGATCAACAATTATCTGAAAGGGTACAAAATAATGCAACAGATTAAAAAAAACAGGACATTTTTGGAACCGATTAAAACCCATGCACAAAAACAGATGCATTTCAAAGAGAGCTGAACCGTTCTCAACAACTGGGCTTACCAAGAATAGTAATAGACGGTGTGAGTTTTCCTTCCCTGAAAAGTGTCTCGCTGTCAATCTTTGCAAAGGGATCATTTGGATTTGGGTCACTGGGAGTTCCTTCCACTCTTGCCCATTTGCCAATGGTGCTGTCCCATCCCACGATACTATTCAAAACGCAGCAGTGATCCTTAAAGAAAAGCAGCATCGTTAAAATGTATCTTATCTTCAAAAAATATGACGAAGAATGCATCATTCATTTATTTCTAATAGGCCTTACAAAACAGATGTTTGTAAAAGTTGATTTCCTGGGAATTTATAACAGAAATACTGACAAGTAACGATGTAAATAACCTAATGAATTTGGAAACATTGAAGCTAGTTCACCTGATAGAGTGTTTTTTTCTGTACGTAGTAAAAACTAGTAAAAATACAAAATGGCCCACCTGTAGAGTAGCACCATGGAGAATGATAGATTCTCGAACTCTGACTCCAGCGCCGATAGTCACACCAGTTCCAATGGAGACGTTTGGTCCCAACTGCATAAAGAAAACAAAGGAATACAGCCAATAGGACAAATAACATGCTACAGATAAACCAGAGCTCTCCATGTTTAGGGGGGAGGACAACAGACATGCATAACACTGTAGAAACATTAACAAAAGGTGGTGCTGCTTTGATCACACACACAATATGGAGCACTTACCATAGCGGTGGGATCAATATTGGCAGTGGGATGTATGTAGACATTACCTTAGAGAAAAAAAAAGAAAAAGAAATGTGGGCATGGACACTTTGCTTTATCAGCGTGAGAAGAGAACCCAGGTCCAGAGACATTTACCACTTATTTTGGGTCCTCCTTCCTTATTTGTGGCCAGTCTTTCAGGATGAGTTGTGTGATACTGGTTAAGGTACAATCTACTGGCATAAATTGCAGACCTTAAAAAAAACAAAAAAAACAAACAAACAGTAATTGAAGATTTACATAACTTCAAATGTAGCATGCGAGGTGATAATCACATGTGAATCGGGATTCAATTAATCAATCATTTGGGAAAATACAAAATCATAATGAAATGTATCCTCTCTGCTTGATGTTTGATGGGAAAAGCAGTAAAATGTAAAGGGAATTCACTCACCCTGCAGACTTGATCTGGCTCCAGGAGCTGAGGGTTTTGTACACATAAAGTTTACCCTGACCTGCCAGGGCAGTGAAAATGTCCTGCTCCAGCCTGATGGCCTCTGCGCGGTGCCAGCCATTGGTTGGCTCCTCTCTGCGAGAGAGGAATGAGCAGCCCATGAACTCTGGCACAAACCGTACAGATCCAATTCCGTTCTTGTGCAACATGTGACCGATAACAAATTAATTGACAGCAGAGTCGTTCTGCATACAAAAAAAAAAACATACCATAACGTAAATTCTAAATGAATTTACTACTCTGAATAATTTGCTTCTCTTTTCACTTTTATTCATACTTCCAGTTATGTGGGAAAAAAAGGTACCGTTTATTCTTCCTACCAGAATCTGGATTTTAAAATCTCAGTCAAGAACTTTGATGGTCGCAGCAAGAGGCTGAGACCAAAGCTGATTACTTAGTATTAATCCAAAACTTAAGCAGAAGAGTATACATGTTCCATATTAATAAGGTTTTCTGGCATGGTGTATTGTAAGAGCACTGAGATGAAAAGGAATTTTAAATATTGATGAAAAGAATATTTTAAATGCTCGCACTCCTAATCTAAGTTTAAAAAAAAAAAGAAGAAAAAAAAGGAGTACTCAGAGGCAAAGCAGTCCCAGAGAGACTGCTGCAGTAAAAGCCTCCTCACTTCTATCAAGTATCTCTGATGTGTCCCAGGGTTTTGCTGACTCAGCACCCAGCTTGAATTAAGTGCTATTGATGTTAGTGGGTGAATTATGCATAGCATGGTTTGTCTTTTTTGTAACATATTTAAAAGGTCCTTGGTGTACTAATTTTGAGGTCGGCTAATCCAAGGTAAGAGTTCAGATACATAAGGAGGTTTGGAGATTGCTTTTGAAAAAAAAAAAAAAAATCCATATATTGATCCACTGTGCCGTTTTCAGCCTCTGTGTCAGGCTGCTGGTGCCGTGGAAATGAATATTTTTTTAAGATTCAAAAGAAGAGAACCTCCTTGAAGAAGTGCCGAATCTAGTAAAGCAAGCACTTTACACCAACAGGATCAACCCAGTTCTCACTGGGTACAAATGAGCAAACTATGCCCAACTCTGTCCTACATAGTCAAGTTTGCTAACCTGCAAAAATTGGCTACAGAAACACGACAATGTAAAAATTCAGTAAAAAAAATAAAAATAAAAAAAAGACATTTTATTAATATGCATTTGCTTTAATGACAAGATCTGGATGAAAAAAAATTGAAAAAAAAAAGAGCTAGCAGCATCCTAGCTTAAATAGGAGAGGAATGGAAACCGAGCAGAACCCAGCCTGAGTGCATCTCAAATTAACTGAAGTTTAAAAGGAGAAATGAATCATTTGGCCAAAACATCAAATGCATAAATGCCGTTTGAATGTCTTAAAGATTGATCCAACTACATTTTTTTGGGCAAAAATTTGTCACCCTAAGACAGATTCAGGCTAAATATTCTGCAGGTTTCCAGTCTATGCTGTTCCACTCATGGCTAAGCTTTATACGCCAACATATGGGGGGATCTGTTCCTCTAACACCCAGAAACAAACAGTGACATTGCATATTGGTCCAAAAGTCAAGCTAGTATAAAAAACTAAAGAAAAAAGGGGGATGCGTTTTCAGACAATGAGTGCAGAAATGGACAAAGGACAGGACACAGTCACACAGTCACACACTTTCTCAACGGATGCCAAAGGCTCTACAACCACACCATGCAGTCTAAATGCACCGACTTACCCATCATATGGATACCTGATGATTGTAAGAGGAAACAGAAAACATGGCATGGAGGAGAAGGGAAGGGGAAAAGAGACAAATGAAGGAACTAAAGAAATAAGTAAATGGTATTCACATGCATTCCCAGTCCCAGTCCCCAACAGGCAAGTGGCACAACTTACAGCATCATGTCCTGTTGATTCTTCTGAAAGACCATGCCGATGTGCTTGAAAATCTCTGGGGTAAAGAGGTATATGCCGCAATTGATGATGTCGCTCACAAAAGTACTCGGCTTTTCCACATAATGCAAGACCTGAGCAAAGAGTAGAATCATTACCAAGACTCAACAGTAATAAATTATTGTGTGTAAAATCAAGAACGAAATATCTAAATACCTCATTTGTATCTTCATTTTCCACAATGCAGCCATAATTCATGGACTGTTTTCTGTTTGCCTAACAAGGGTGAAAATGTTATTTTTTAATATCGCACAAGTTGAGCATACAAACATCGAGTAGATTTCACAAGCTCCAGACAACGGCTGTTATAAAGGCTAAAAAATATTACCGTTGTCCCGAGGATCACAAAGCTGTTTGGTTCTCCGTGTTCTTTCTGGAAGCTGAGCATGTCGATGAGCGGGAATGCTGAACAAACATCAGCATTCAGGACAAAGAAAGCCTCTGGACTGCCGGAGACAATCTGATCTCTAAAGTGATAGATGCCCCCTCCAGTACCCAGGGCGGCATACTCCTGTAAATATCTACGATAAAGAGACAAGAAGACATTCTGCAAGGTTTGTGCACAGCTACACAAAATGTGCTTGTACAGGCACAGGTGACAATTGACTTTAAAAGTCATAACATATAATAACAATAGCAGTGTTACCTGATGGAAATTTTAAATTCTTGCTGTGCATTAAACAGAAATCTGTTCAGTTCTTCATTTGGCTGATAAAAACCAATGAGCAAAATCTCCTTTAGATTCGGTACCTATAAAAAAAAATTAGAAAAAATGTTGTAAGCGTGATTTCAGCAGATTTTCCTGTCTACAATGGGCAAAAACATTACCTACATCACCTTCTATGATGAGATGTTTACTGTTATAATACTGATATAACTAAATTACACATCAAATCACATCAAAGTGCATTTGGAGAAAATGATGCTGTCCAGTAAACATGGATCGATTCGATTTCCAAGGAGAAATTAATCTATGGAGCCCACTAAATTTGGACTGTGATGAGGTGGATTGTCTTTTTAAAAACGAGATTGTGCTTTATAGGTTTCAAACTTATTTTGCATTTCACACAAACTGTATTCAATAAGACACCTCACCTTGACACACGCTTCAATGTGGTGCTGGAGCATGGGAACACCAGCTACTGGAAACAGGGGTTTGGGCACTTCAAATGACAATGGTCGGAACCTCGTGCCTGAAAAGCAATGAAGCCGATTACTTACATCAGATTACAACATGAATCCCCTCTTCACAGTCTACAGCTTAATGCATGAAAACCTTTGTTAAAATGTATGAGATGCCCTGTAAACAAGACCACTAAACTAAAAAATAAACAAATAAAAAGGCTTAAAAAGAACTATAAGGGACATTTCTCCAATTTCCCTCAAAGTTTCTATTATTTTGAATAAATCGAACATCTATTCACTTGATCATGGTGGTTTGAGAGTTCCAAGACTGTATAAAAAAATGCAGAATTTAGTTGTCCTGGGGAAAATGTCAGTCCATTTATATATAATAGAGTTACATTATAATATAGAGTGTACAGCAACGTATACAACTAAAACATAGTCTGTGCTGTTATAGATCGGTTTTAATAAAATATTTGGATCCTGAAACATTTTAGTAACTCAAGTTGTATCCTTGCGTTAACAACATGCCACGTCAGTGATATAAACAAGTCCAGTGAGTTTGTTAGCATTAGCAGCCCCGTTTCCCTTTAAGAGGAAACATATGGCTCACTGTAAAAGTATCACGAAGGGCAGAGTATTTCTCACCTTTCTGTGGGCCTCCGATTAAAATGACCGCCTTCAACATCTTGTTGGGGAAGCTGTTTTATTACAGAAGAGGTTACCTGACAACCACCTGCTACAGCTGAGCTTTATCTTCGCCCACTTCCTAGTTGTGACGTCAACGAGATTATCGTAAAAACACGGAGGACAGATCAGTAACGGGAGCGGAGTGGATGAGAGGAGTAGTCCGGTCCTTTTGAGTTAATTTTGTGGCTTTTACCTGAATCACAACTAGATCGTCAATTGCAGTAGGAGATAAAATCGGACGAGTATTTTTATATTAAAATCTTTGTTTAGTATGGTTAATTTTATGCGTTACAAATCCCTATTTCTACTACATAATAATGAAGGCACATTATAAATCCTGGCCAGGGCACAAAGCCTGTGATTCCCACATCTTTGTGTAATGTTTTATTACTGTGATTTGTCAAGTGAATATTCAGTTAATCTTCTTCCTTTTAGAGTATTTTCTGCATCTGCGCGAAGTAGTTTATGCTCCCTTTGGAGCTGAGGAAAGTCATTGTGGTCGAAAAAAGTACTCAGCTGTCAATTTAGAAGACTCATAAAGACAAAAAATAACACAAATACAGCTCTGCCTTCATATTTTCTCATTAAAATGTAACCTGAAGTCAAATAGTCTCCCGTGTGGTGATATTCATAACTCAAACACATGCAAATAAGGTGCAGATCTGCATCAAACAAACAGAATTTTTGTGAACAATCACCAAGGGAGAATATTTTCTGCTACACACCCCTGTGAAGGAGTGACAGAGGAGCGTGAAAATCTTTTAAACCGCTGTCAAAGTATAAAGATTTATATCTTTTTCATTCTGGTGCTTCATCACCTAAACACAGGGAGCATTGTTTTATAGCAGCTTTGAAATATTGTGCTTTTCTCCAGTTCTCCTCTTATTGTCATGTTCAGGGTCTTGGTTCTGAAATATGAACAATTAAATCTGTTAATAAAACCTTAATCCCACTACATTTATTACAGAAGTTCTGATTTCTAGTGGTATTCCTGGGGTATTAATGTGTAATAATGTGAGGGATTTTGAGGAGAAGAAATCTTCCATTGTGATCCAACATTTGCTAACTTTCTGCCCTAATTTCTTCCAGCTTTTGGTTCATGAGGTAAATAATTCAATTTGATTTCAGGTTAGTACCTAAAATTATACTTCAGATAGAGGCAGATGAAACGTACAGCGATGTATAGCATACTTGTCCCCTGAACAAAATTGAGTTGTTTTCAGAACAAGTCACTGAGTGTTCTTCACTTATTGCCCCCAACCCCCCCGATTTTAATGTACGATCATGAAAATCAGGTGTGCTGTATAAGAAAATGTGGATTATTGACTCACAAGTCCAACACATCACTGAGACATGACTGAATGCTGAATTCTACAAATGTTTTCCACGTAACTAATAGTAGCAATGTGTATAAAAAGTATGTAATGATATATAATGTATATATAATGATAAAAAGGCTTGGGAAGGCCTTGGGATCCCCCCGGAGGAGCTGGCAGAATCGTGGGGGGGGGAGAGGGAAGTCTGGGTTGCAAGTTATCACAGAGCTCACAGCAGAGTCCTTTATTCTATTTAAAATTCATACAATTTTGTCATTTCAGTTTTCAATTGGTCATAGAAACATTCCTTCCATTGAAATGAGTTCCAGTCAGTGTTGTGCAATGTCATCACATATATGAAGAAAATAAAGTTTCTTTACAATTTTTTTTATATCTATTAGAATTAGAATTGTAAAAGCTTCCATGAAAATAGTCTCAAAGCAGTCAAGTGTAACACCTCAGAGCATATTGTCAATCAAAATCTACATATATTTTGACTTTCACATTCATGAAACAAACTGGAAGTAAAAATAAAAAAATTAAAACCAAATATGGAAAATGAGTAAACATAACATTTTAGCAGAGGCACAACAATATTCTTTGCGAGAAAATGTGTTGCAAACTTTTCTTTTTGTGAGCTATTAATTTTTCATCTCTTCAGAGAAAACATTTGAAAACATTCTTATTAGCCTCATGCAGAATGATCCAAAACAGTACCCAAGAGGCATTTATGACGTTAAATTTCTCTTTACAAGTATTTCTTCAGAAAATAAAATAATTCTAAGTGTTGTTTGTTTGTTGACAAAGAACCTATACTACTATTCACAATTAACGCGAAAGCAGACAGAAAATAAAGCCTGCGTACAAACTGTAAAAAAGAAAAAGCCTTTTTAAGTATATTTTGAACTTCATTTAAGAATTTTGAGTGAAAAGAAAACTGTACAGTACCCAGCAGGTTGAATTACTAAATGTAGTGCATTGGCTCATTTTCTCTTTGTGTTTCACAACCCAGTGTGAGAAATATGGTTGTACCCATTTGTAAAATAACCAAAAATTACAAGTTGTTATTATTATTACTGTATATCACTATGATGCACTACCATGTACATAAACACAATATTTCAGACAACTACAGTACCCAGCAGCGATGTGATCAAGAAATAATAGAGATTTAATTATCTTCCAAGTGTTTACAGATTTTAGTTGAACAGAGCTAAAAAAAAAAAAAAGAAAAGAAAAAAAAGTGTCTTAATGCCCCGTTATGCTCACAAAGCAGATCAGCCTCCTCTAAGCGGAGATCGGCTTAATCTGAAGATTACTAATTCCCGTCATGATCCACTGCACGCAAGCCTTCGTCCCAGTTTTCTGCTGTTTAATGCAATTCTCTGTGCTTTTATCTCCTGTTGTACAGGTCTTTGCGTTTCCGGAGCTCCTCCAACACCCGTGCCCTGAACTCTGTCCAGTCCTCATCCTGGAGCTGCTGGATCCCCAGAGCCCGGTGGAGCTCCAAAGACTGGCTCCGCAAGAAAGGGTTGTACTGCTTCTCTTCCCCAATAGTAGAGGGACACTTTAAAGAAAAACAAAAAAACAAATGAAGTAGAAAACAAGCTTTGCTCACAACTCATGGTCTAAAGCGAAGTCTTTCTTAAAAAAAAGCCTTTTATTTTACACAATCCTCATTTATTGGTAGAGAGGTGCAATCCCATTGTCTGCTGAATGAATGGACCAGAGGATGCTCAAGAAAGTGTGAAAACATGAAAAAAGGAAAAATTATCTGAAGAATACTTTAAAATGTAACAGGAATTAATCTAACAGTTACAGAGCAATGGCTGAAGGATTTGAAGCATTTACAAATAAGATGACATTTTTAATCGTATTAAGAGAAAAACTGACAGCTGAAAAGACCATTTAAAAACAAAAAAAGTAAAAGTTTTAATGAAAAAGGTCAAAGGTACGGAAAAAAAGAGAAGAGTCGTTCCCGGTGTCGACTCTCCTTTCGGGTTGGGCCCCAGAAAATGCAGTTGGCGCATGGGCTGAATGCTGTACAGCATTCTCACAATGAAGCGCCCTCACCACGTCACAACAGGAACACAGGCATCGACAGAAAATCTGAATGAAGCCCGAGCGCCTGGCTCCATGCACGCTACGCTGGCTCACCACCTCACTGTCACAGCTTACTGGGACACTGATACAATGGAGCCATAGTTAATCTCATTAGAAATACCTGTGCTGTCCCTGCTATGACATGCCAAAATGTCTGTCTGAAGGTAAATCTGCTTTTCTCTTCCAACACTCTGAGACTGAAGCCAGCAATATCTGGTAATAAAGATATTCTTTTGCAGCTTCCATTTTTGGGGATTAAAAACTGGAAGTACTTGAAACACAAAAAGACGCACATCCATGCCAACAGAAACCAGCTTCAAAAGCAGAGATTCCCCCCCCAAATATTCTTCTTCTTTTTTTTTATGAAGAAAAAAGAAAACATGCACACTATGCAGAGAAAACAATATTGTTAATCACTTCTTATGTTTTCAGAATGGAATGGAAGCATAAACTCTTTCAAATCTTTTGAATTTCCCTCATGGGGGATGAATAAAGCAGTTTAAAATCTAACTCTCAAAACAGCCTCTAGAGTCTTACAGTATTGGTAACAGATTAAAAGCCGTCAGAATTATGGATAAGCTCTTCACTGCAATGTTGAAGACTGTATCTTAAGTTAGACTTAACTTGAAGAGGAAGAGATGAGAGGAAATGTAAACTCGGGGTTCTGACAGCACATAAACAGTATTCTAGTGATAAGTCCATGTTGCCCATGATGCCTTGCGCAGGGCAACGCGTTTCCTTTCTGGGATGGAGAGGCAAAAACAACAGCACTTTATTATTCTTACCGTACAAAGCTTCTGGCCTCGCTGCTGCAGCACCCACTGGTACTTGCTCTCTCTGATAGTGTTGCGTGGCTCAACCTCAGCAGCAAACAGCAAGTTGTCCTCTGCATACTCATGACCTGGGAGACAGAAAATGTATATTACTAAAGAAACAGAAGACCTCAAACCTGTTCAACTCCTTTGTATGCTTGATTGTAAACACAGCCAACTTCAAGTAACAAAAACCCAAGCAAATAAGTATTTCAGTCACACTCTGGAAAAGATTTTCCCACCAGGCCATAAGAGAGTATCATCACTAAGAGTGCCCACGGTGTCCAGGGATGAAAGCATTGTTGTGGCACTGCCCTCAAACATCCTCCCTGAAAACAAAAAGAACAGATTAACAATTTATTCCAACTCAGAACTGATCTGTATATAGTTTTTAGATGTTATATTTCCTGCTAGTCTTTTTTTCAAAATGCTCCTAGGAATTCAACTCAACATTTGTAATGGTTTTGTCTAAACGATGTAGGAAACAAAATATGACTGACCAACTGTCTACTGTGGGAGAATTCCAGAATAAATTCAAACATAAAAAAATTAACTTAGACTCTATTATTTAACACAAATCACTAGGACCAAAAACAAAAAAATGAAAGCTTGATTAATCAATGTAAGTTTCTGGTCATTTCTCCAAAGAGAAAATAAAACAAAATTCTAATAAATAATTCAATACTAATGATAGTAATACTCCAGCTTTTTAAAGTACCAGCATCTAACTGTAACCAATCTGTTTTTATGAATAGTTTTTCATTTCTTCATGTTAACAAAAAACTAAATAAAATTGACACTGGCATTTGCATTAACTATTCTACGGCATAACACACCACATCCTGAGAGGAACACCAGGTCACCGGAGAAGACGCTGGAGGGGGCATCGGCCGCTTGGCCATCCAGGAGGTAGATCATGTGGCCCACTGTGTGTCCAGGAGTGAACAGGGCCTTAAAGTGCATTCGCCCAATAACAAGTGAGTCCTTGTGTGAGAGAGGGCTGGGAAGAAATAAGGAATACACCAAGCCTCTTAGTACACCAAAGAAGAGCAGTAGTAATGTTTCAAAGGATAAACTACATTTGAAGCAGGTCCAGCAAATGATGAGAAGTTGTTTCAGTTGTTCAGGTGATGGTGCAGCAAAGTGCCAAAATCATAAGATCAGATCTTTTAAAGCCACTGAATCTACTATGACAAAAAGAGTGACTATATTAGGAATAAAGAATACCTCCGTCTTTGGTCCCATTCCCCTGAGACACAACTGAAGTTTATCATACCATGGTAATTCACTGTGAAGTCAGCTGCTATGTGTGCTGACAGAAGGAACAACACAGGACTCAGTGTGGCAAAGAGGAAACTGTGAGAGGCTGCTCTGCTGGGACCTACTGCGTGAGAGCAGGAATGTTGTCAGCTGCGTTTCCATACACTCGGCATGAACTGTGAAGCTTCTTCAACCACTTGTTTCCCCCACTATGGTCCCTGTAAACAGCACAAAAATAGCAGGGGTAAGATGCAAAGATGATTTGGAAAATATCCACACATCTGAAATAGTTATGAACTTAGTAATTCTGCAATAAACAAAGAAAAAGTGTTAAAAAGACCCACACAAAACAGCAAGACTATGTGATGTCTATTAAACTCACCAATGCTTGTGTGTGCACAAGATAGCTTCCAACATCACTCCTTCTTCCTCAAGAACTGACTGAAAAGTTTAGGTGAGAGTCGTTTCATTTTGATGTACGATGTAAAATCAACAGCACACAATATCCATCCATCCATCCATCTGACTGCAAAATACATTTGAGTGCCGACGAAGTACAAAATGAATTTGTTCGTCTTTAATACACAGACTATTACGCAACTATTAGCAGCCCACAGAAACTGTGAATACTGGACCAGACAGCGTAGCGGCCAAATTATCACCTTTATTGAATTGATTTGTTGGATGAGAGTGGAGAAGAATATAAGAATGTAGAGACCGGCCACAACATATCAAATGAGCAAATGCAATATGTTCAGGTCTTCAGGACAAAAGTGACAGCAATGGCACTCACCTGAACAATTTGAGGATCTGCGGGATCTACGACAACTGCAACACTGGAGGATGTGTCAATAATAAGGTAGCTGTAGTTGTCAGACAACACTGAGATTGGGATTATTTTGATACCTGTGAACAGACAAGCAATACATACACATGTATGCAATTTCAATAATGTAGATTATTTAAAAAATGGTGAGCAACATTTGATAGCTGAGTCTTGCATAAAAACTGATGACCACAAAATGAAATCTGACGGTTACGGGCTGCATACCATGAAACTCAACAGGACACGATATGGAATGTCCAGCTGGATAGTTTTCCCTGGCTTTCCTCATTTGCCTCTTATAATACATGTAGCCAAGTCTGGTCCTGGTGTAAAGTGTGTACCTGGGAGAAAAAACATTTGAAATGATTGTGTTTTGATAGTTTTTCAAAGTTACCTGTATCATAATCATGTAATACATTTAATACACTTAAAATGGGATTTTATCTATTGAATTTCTTTTTTTTTTATTGAAAAATTGAAAGAAGAAAATTATATTGTTTTCCAGAGCTCAACCACTGGGATAAGTTGGCTAACTGATATGTTAAAATCTCTGCCAAATAGAGGGGACATTTTGTAGCCTTTGACCACATAAAGCAGTTGCCATTGTCAATTTACAAAAATAATATACAACGACTTATATTTTGCGGTAAATTTCGAACCAACGAGCCCTCAACCCCTACAAAAAATAAATTGTAGCTAAGCGAAGCTTGAGAATTTCTGGAAACCTAAAAAAAAATGCTGTCAATCCCACTAACCCTGTACTCACGCAATTCGGAACAATGGCTTCTCCGAGCGGGCCATTATCTTACTGATTAATTTCCTCCAAAACACCTGTGCGGTTCGCCTGTAGCGCAGAAACAAACATAAGAAACAGAAGAGGGATGCAGTGGCAACCAGTGTTATTGTCCAGTCCGGAAGCGCCATAGTCACCGAGCTCAACGTAATGACGTCTATAAGGATACGCCGATCCCGGAAGCGAGATATTTAGCTAGATTGGATCGGTGATTGAACAAAGGTTTCTGTGTATAGGGTTGACGTTTGATTGGATCAGCTGGAAGAACACAGTTTCTTCTGACAATCTTACACTTCACGAATATGAACTGTAACACTATACATTATATATACATATTATTGTGCGTATCTGTCCATAAAAAATAACTAACAAATAATAAAGGTCTGTGTAACCCCCCCCACACACACATACACACAAATAGATAGATAGATAGATAGATAGATAGATAGATAGATAGATAGATAGATAGATAGATAGATAGATAGATAGATAGATAGATAGATAGATAGATAGATAGATAGATAGATTTTATTGTTGTTCCTTTGTTGTGGTTCAACAGAGGAACAACTTGTCACTATGCGCATGCTCTCTGAGACAGAGTAGTGTGACTTTCAGTGAACATATCCAGTTACAAAGATGACAGGTTCCTGGGCAGCAAGTCTGCTAACATCTTAGGAGTCAGGACGTAGGAACTTTTCCCATCCTAACGTCCTATTGCAAGGCTAGAGCCACAAGGTAAGATACACTTTCTGGCTGTATGTGTTTAACGTAGTCATAAACAGATTTGAATGTGCTTATAATGATAACAAATTTGAGCCACTGTTTTTCTCAAATGTAACGTAATTATGTGGTACATTTACAGAAATACGCAGACAAAACTTATCAGACAAAATTATGAGAGCTTGATTTAAAAAGTATGTTGTGCTGATTGTTGCTTTATAAAAAAAAATGGATTTGATTACTTTTACTTCTAGAATATAAAATATTTTTTATTGTTAGTGTAATTGAAACAGTGAAGAATGCACAATAACTATAAAATGGGTTCTTAATATGTATTGTCAGTTTATGTGTTGAACAATCAGAGCTAAAATGCTTGTGTGATATAATATTGATGTACAGTACATGTTTATCTTACCTTCTCTTTAAGGAGGTCTAGAAATATGACTTCTAAATCTGACGATCCTCCACCCTACGAGGATGCTCTGCACCATCCTAAGTCTGGTCAGGACCCCTACCAGCCACAACACGGCACCACTCTCCCCCCTCCTCCTTCTTATAGTCCCAGTCCCGGCATGTGCCATGGCCCGCCTGGCTACTGGGGCCAGGGGGGCGTTCACCCGCAAACCAGCATGAATCCAGGCCCTGGCTTCTCTCCAGCTGGAATGCCCATACCCACTCTGTCTGCAGGAATGCCTATGTCCAACCCAGGTTTAGAGGATTTTGCTCAGATTTGAATCAGTTACTCCAATATTATATATCCATTTTCTCTGAGATGTTGTACGTCTAAAGGACAAGTGGGCTTTTCCCAATTCTGCAGGAGAGATGGATGATTTCTTCAGCAACCAGTGGGAAAGCACATCTGTTCGGCATGCCTTCATCAGGAAGGTAAGAGACTTTTATCCTTTGTCATGCAACACATCATGTCAAGTTTCTCAGAGTTCCTCCAACAATGTCTTTTGTCTTTTCGTGTGCTCATCTCAGCTTTGGTATTTGTGTTTGTGAACAGGTTTACTTGATTTTGACAGTTCAGCTTGCTGTCACTTTTTCAGTCGTTGGAGTCTTTACATTTGTGTAAGTTCCCAGATTCATACCAGCAAAACAGTCCATCTTGCTGCTGAACATTTTTGATGAAGGGCAAGAGGAAGCAAACCCCTCACAGATCTATAATTAACTGTCCTCACACAGTGACCCAGTCCGGCTGTTTGTCATCAGATACCCTGGCATCTACTGGGCATCATTGTGAGTCAAATTTAAATAATGTAAAGCCCTTTTACCTGAAGAAGCTGCATCTTTTCACTGTTACTTATACAATATGTTATGATGATTTATCTCCCTGTAGTGTGGTTTATTTTTTGGTTTACTGCATCCTCGTCTGCTGCAAAGGGCCAAGGTAAGCCATTTCTGCCTATGGATAATTTTACCACATAAGCAGGGAGAATTGTCTCGTTTTCAAAAGATTCCTCTCACATGTTCTTTAGGAGGCGTTTTCCATGGAATCTTGTGCTGTTGGGAATATTTGTAAGTATTGTTTGTTGGATTGTGGACCAGCTGAGGGTCCAGTTGGCAGCCTCAGGTGAGGAGTTAGTATTTTAGTTGAAGACCATCAAAGTTAAAAACAACAAAAGCAGCCAGTCAAGAAGACAGTTAAAAAAAAAAAACTATATTAGCTAAGAAACACTGATTGTTTCAATGTTTTTTCTACAGACCATTGCCTTGTCTTACATGTCTGGAACAATTTCGAGGTTTGTTTCCTGTTCAATCATCTCTCATATATTTAAACATTCTTTTCTCGATATTTGATATATGTGTATTTCTTCAATTTCAATCCCCTATATATTTCTGTTACAGCTATTATGAAACAAAGGCAGTCTTTCTTGCCATGGGAATAACAGCAATAGTGTGTATAGCAGTGACAATCTTCTGCTTCCAGACGAAGGTAGATGGAGATGTGAAGTGTTTCGATGCAGCTTAGTAGCCTGTGGCTTGTCAGAGGATGTCTTTGTTGTCGGTGTAAAAGAACCCCTTTGTCTCGCATTACAATGGGGCACTGAGTTCCTTTAAATATTTATAACATTTTGGGATAAGAAGTGAATCCATCTTCTCTTTCTGATGCAACTGCAGATACAAAGGTTACATTCTTGGCTGGTACATGGCAAATAAAACCCATTTCATTTTTGACTTGGTACCTTACTCTGATCCTCGCTCAACTTCTTCTCATTGCTCTTTCATGTGTCTTGAAGCATATTAACTTTCCTTTCATCCTGTTAATGACTTGTTTCTCATTACAGGTGGACTTCACCTCCTGCGGGGGATTTCTCTGCATCGCTGCGGTTTTGCTCATGATCATTGGGATTGTTACGGCTGTCGTGCTCTCCTTCCAATATGTGAGAACTCTTTGGTGAAATCCCTTAAATCTAGTCTCTCTTTTCATGGCGTGAGCCACCGCAGCAGCTTTGAAGGGGTGTATCAGTGAGAGCCTTTCTTATGTCATTCAACAGGTCCCCTGGCTGCATATGCTCTATGCTGCAATTGGAGCCATCGTTTACACTCTGGTGAGTCGGGTGAATTTAAGGAAAGCATTTCAGCTGGCCATTACAAAGGGCGCTGCTGAAAAACAAAAGGGATAATTGTCTTGAATTACAGCGTCATTTGGAAGACTTTAATAGCTTGCTGACAACTTGCTATTTCTAGAGCTTTACATCTTAGGGTGTTTCATCCAGTTTGATCGCTCAAACCAAAACTGTTTATTTCCTTATAGTATGCGGGTATACATAAGAATCCAGGAGTTATAGATGTGGTCAATTTTGGTTTTGGCCAGGCATTTTTAAACTTGGTACAAGTATGGTTTATCCAGATTCTGTTTACTTACTGTTTTATTTGCTAAATATACCATAGTTTTGATGTTTGAATTGGATTAACAAATCCATACCAGATGAATTAGACCAGTGCCAAAGCCAGATATGAGAACATTTGGAAAAGTAAATTCTCTTCCATTATATGTTCTTACATTTCTTTAAAATAAACTAATTACAAAGAAAGCGTTTAAGTTATTGCTGCTAAAAGTGAATGTAGAACTGATTAATTGATGTGGCGTAATTCGATTTTGAAACTGCCTTTACTTTTGGAAAATATGAAGAAAAAAAAATTGAAGTTGTGTATCATCTGTGAAAGAACTAGTAAGGACCAAATAAAAGTTAACCATACCGAGACACATTTACTCTTCAGAAGAATAGATAAACGTATGAACTTTTTAAAGAATAATCTCGCTGATGCCACATACTGGGAGGGCCACAGTTCACTTTGAAGCATCTCATGATATTCCATAAACTAGTTTGCAATTCACAGCAAAGACGATGTTAACCTCTGCGTCACAGCTGGAGCTGCTCTGCTGGAACGTGTTGAAACACATCAATTACAGTCACGGTTCAGCTATAGTTTGAGAAAGAAAGTTTCTCAGTGCACTAAGTGCAGACCACATGCTGGCTAACACTCGACTATCTGACATAAGCCGATACCCGCTGACAACCTGTCGATCCAAATATTGTTAGCAAATACCAGTACAGCAAGAAATTAGTGATCGATTGTGTTATATTGAGTTAGGAATCCGATCTATTGGAACAAATGGCCACTGCAGAGCACCTGCATCCTGTCTGGTCTGAGTCTGCAGTCCAGACCTCGGTGTCAGATATCCGCTGCCTGACTCACAATGCATCACAAATACCACCTGATGAAGGTGGAGACTTTCTCTTGATGGTTCTCTGTGAAACGTAAACACATAGAAATGAATCTCAGATATGAGAAATCATTACCAAATGTCAAGGCAATAGTTTGGCTTCATTTGATCAAACTGATCAAAGACAAACACAAAGTCAGCCAGTCTGAGACTAATAAGAAAAGCGTTGATGGGAATGTTAGCGTTTTTTGATTTGTGTGTGTGGTATGATGAAGCCGCTTTTCACTGTTTTAGTTTTTAGTGTACAACACACAACTTCTTATTGGGAATCGGGAGCTGGCCATCAGCCCAGAGGAGTACGTCTACGGAGCACTTTCTCTCTATGTTGACATTGTTCACATCTTCCTCTTCATCCTTCAAATCAGTGGAGCAGCAACTGAATAGAGAAATTCTTAGAGGACATTTTCTTTCACGGGGCTTGGATTTACACAAACGTGCATTTACCAAGAGCAACATTACACACGTCACCGTTTAAAATCTGAATGCATCGTTATCATCAGCATCGAGAATTTTGACTGACATTTAATAACTGTATATAGTTTTGTTTATATGTAAAACTGGAGCACTTTGACTAAAGCAGAGTTGTATTTATAGTTGTATGTACCCAAGTATGAATGAAGAGAGACACTTCAGCTTTGCATTATTTTTGTGATTTACTATTTATGTGCATGTTAAACAATCTTGTCAGAACAATTTATTTAACAAACATGAATTTCCAGAGTTGTTTCAGTGAACAAAAACTTTTGACTCGTCTAGATCTCAAAATATGAAACAAAGCAATAATCTACTTTTTAATCAGTTTTTCTAGTAATTACTTACAAAACATGTGTAGTTACAGGCGAACTGCTGGACACCACAATCACTTGTCCAACATCTGTACTGATGGTAGGAGATACTCTTGATCTGCATCCATGTATTACTAACCTTCTTTTGTTAAAAAAACTCAGACAAACACTGACTTGCAGATCAGGGAGTGAAGTAGGTGTGTGGCTTTCCCAATAACATGAATTACAGTTTATTTCTTTTCTCTATTGTGTCCATTTCTCACTGCTGTTAGAGAACTACACACCGGTCAATAAAGTACATCCTGCAGTTACAATTGCTTCATTCTTATTTGTTAACATCTAGTGGCACATTAGTCACAGGGTGGCACTAGCTCCTTTCTCTGTCTTGATTGTAGATAAGAAATTATTCCAATCACCAGTATCTGCGTGTTAGTCCAGTGGGGACGGACTCTATATAATTGTGGATTCAGGGTGTCAGGCGTTTCGGGTCACGAGGGAACATGGAGGTCTGACGAACATTGTGGAGACCCAGGTACAGCATGCAGACCCTCTCCAGGCCTATGAAAGAAGATGGTTTTGTTATTGAAAAGACTTTGGATTTTTGTTTACCCTCCCAACACATCCTGATTATAGCTTTAGAAAACAAAAAACATTCCATCCTACTTACCAATTCCTCCACCGCCATGAGGAGGAGCTCCATAGCGGAAGGAGTCGATGTATGACTTGATCTTCTCCAAATCTAATGTTGTCAGAGAGATGTCACAAACAGTTTAGTTTGAGTTAATGATTCTGGTGCTGCAGGTGCCACTGGCCACCCATAGAGGGAGACAGAGCACTGAGATGGTTCAATCCTTATCTCACCAATCTGGTGATGGTTGGCTCTCTCAGTCAGCAGCTGAGCGTCGTGGATTCTCTGAGCTCCAGACAGGATCTCTTCCCCCCTCATAAACATATCATAGGAGTTGGAGTATTTCTGAAAAAAAATAAGAATGAAGTCATCATCTCTTCACAAATGGAGGAATAAAAAAAACACACAAGTCTAAAGTTCGTCTCTGAAAAAAAAAAAACTAATTTGGCCAAACACGACAAAACCTTCAGATCTGTCACTGATTTCTTCTTAGACAGTCAACTGATCATTACAGCGGCACTTCTTTGACACAGTTACTAACTGTTCTCGGGGGACATTATCGTTAACAGGAAATTACAGGAAATGTAGCCACGAAGTTGTGGGGGGAATCATAAAACCCATCTGTAAAAAATGTGTAACAACCGTCAGTGAGAACTTTTATTCTGTGGTTATATTTTGTGTCAACAGCTGAGAGTTAGCGTGGGTTTTTGAGAAATCGAGCGACTTACCGGGTTGTTTGGATCAGGCATCGTGTAGAAGGGTCGAACAGCCAGTGGGTATTTATCCAGCACATAGAAGTCAGTGTCGTACTGATGAAAAGAAAAAGAGGCTGATTAACAAACAGTAGCTGAGCAATAGCTGTGGACCAAAGAGGGGGCTGAAGGAACAGTAGGTCTGAAGGATAACAGTTCATTTTGTTGACTGCTGTGTGTCCGGCACCACGATTACAGCAAATACACAATTTGATCAGGCTCCTGTTTCTCCTGAAGAGGACTTGAATCAGTGTCTTTTGTGGCATGATGAGGTCGTTTTGGTTCTTCACAAATATCAAGTGAAAAATAAACTCACAATGCTTAAGATATAACAATAAAAATCACCAACAGTTTAATTTTGCCAACCTAAAAACTTCCACCTGCAGACACGTCTCATAAAGCAAATAATCCATCAGTAAAATTTGAGGTCACAAAATACTGACGCACACTGAAGGAAAACATGTGAACTTACCTTTTCCTTAACCAGACGACCCAGCAGTTTTTCATTGGGTGTACTGCAAAAGCAAGCAAAACATAAGCCTAACTTTACTGTTTACTTATTCAGATGTTTATTTAATTTACTGGGATTTTTTTAAAGTAAATGTCATGCATGAAGGTTTCTGACAGATGGAGTCTAATTTGCAACCGCTGCTCCTCTTAAAACAGCACAGAATTAAAAACACAAACATACGACGAGATAAGTGTTTACAATACAATATAAAAAAAAAAAGAAAGGGTGCAGCGCATGCAAATTTGAGGGCCGTGTGTGTACGTGGTTATGGATGAGTACAGGTCTGCAAGTACATGCATGTTGGAGTGATCTAGGATTTTTTTAGTCAATGCACACAGTCGTTTGAGTTTTTAACCCTTTCTTTGTATGTCTGCTAAAAGAAGAACTTTTTCAGTCTGATAGCATGCGTTGGACTTAGGGCAAATGGTCCTGACCTGAGGTCCTCTTCGTCACCCATCTCCACCCCGGCCTCGTGCAGCATGGCCACGGCCTCGGTGTATTCGAGTCTCAGAGTGGGCTCCAGGAATTTGAAAGGCTCACTTGGGAACTGCTTGTTTACTGTCTGGATCTCTGTCTGGAAGCTGCAGAGAGACCATACACACACCAAACATAAGTGTCCATTTAAGAGGACATCACACCAACTTCAAGTCATGTGTCTAAACATATAAAATGGACTGAATTAAGTAACAGGGTTTTGCTTTGTTTTTGTAGCAGAGTTTCACAGCATCCGTGATACAGGCCAACAGAATACCACCTACAGCTAAAGGAATTCCAAACCACCCACAGACAAATGTCAAGACAAAATCAGTTGATCTCATAATAATAGTTACACCCCACATCAACATTTAGGACTTCAAAGCTGCTTAAATGTGCAAAACCAATGTTCCATTTAAAACCTAAGTCTAACATTAAGCTATGGGAGACGGTTCTAACATGGATGCAGAAGTTTACAAGTCAAAACAAAAGGGGTGACAAACAAATGTCAATGTAACTGCGGTGCCGGAACATCCGACGAGGGCACACTCAAAATAGTTTAATACGTCAAAGGGAACAGTCTGGAAAGTCACGAGAACCCAAAAGTCATTGTACCCTGATAAAGAGGAAGTGCAGTCACAAGCCGAAACTAACCAACCAATGGCACATATTGGTATGGCTAGCTTATATAATTTGTTTTATAAGTTTGGTCATCTACTGATTCAACTGTGTTTCCACAGGACACGTTTTCTTTAAAGGCCTTTCTTAACGTTACAAAGGTCTGAGTTGTTCACATCAGTCCAGGGTAAAAAGCCCATTCATTTTTTTTCAACTGGAGCAGAAAATGTTTTCATACATGAATATTTGAGCCAAGAAATGCTTCTGGCTCCAAACTTTAAAAAACCTCACCCAGCTCTGGCTTCCTTTAGTCAAAAGCCTCAAAAGCTTCTGTTTATTCTCCCTGTACTGATTTCCACCACTAGGAGGCAATGAAGCCACATCATATCCTTTTCTTCAATGCATAATAAAAGGAGAGGGTGAAATAAGACATGAGGCCGAAAAGAGAACACGTGAATCCATCCGACTACATTTTGTCAGTTAGAGATTAATTAAATAACAAGATCTTTATTGAAAACTGGTCTTAAGGATATAAATTCAAAATACCAGCAGAATATGGTGATGTTGATTCAAATGCTTTCAAGTCAGTTTCAGGAGTTTTGGCACCCTTATCATCTTTACTCATCTAAAGCTTCATAGTAAGAAATGAACAGGAGCTGGTAATGTCAAAAAGGGTAAAAGTCCTTCCGTTTGAGCTTTACTGTATAACTCTTACTTGTCTCTCAAGCCCTTGAAGATCTGCACCATGGTGTCGGTGATGGAGTCTATCACTTCGTGGTAATGGTAGTTGAAGGCCATCTCAATATCCAGGCCCACAAACTCCGTCAGGTGACGGTGAGTGTTGGAGTCTTCCGCCCTGAAAACTGACAAGTCACGGCAATGTCATATCTCAATGTATATATCTGTTTGGTATATACAGTTGCCTTTCTATTTCCGTGCATTTCAAAATAACATCATTTAACATTTAAGTGGTGATACAAATATTCTTTTAAACATGATGCCATTTCCTTCTTTGTTAAAATGGCCAGCTACATGTTTAGATCCATTCATTTACAGGAAAAACTTTATTGGAGTCTTTCTTAAAGTTGTTCTATAGATGTGGGGGCTAAAATCAAATAAAGTTGAGGCTGCTGGGATTTTGAGTTGATCCCAGTTCTCCTGATGCTGAACCGATGTGACTGTATCTAAGGCAATAGTAGTGGGTAGAATGGTGCTTGAGAAGTAGCAGAGACCTTAAGTCCTTTCATTTGTCAGGTGGAGCTATACAAAAGCAAATAAAACATCACAGTTAAGTCTTTGGAATATTGAATACAACTCCTTCCTTCTCAAATAGAATTTTCTCTAAAGGTAGCAATCAGACACCAAATATAAACGAGACAATGTGGTCATTTACAAAGGATGGCTCTGCATAGGAAAACAGCTCGAAGTGTACAAGTGTACAATGAAAAAAGCATTTGCCGTACAAATCAGATGATGGCAGTATTTGCTCGTCTAAAGCTGGAGATTCTCTTCAGTCCGCACATAAAGTCTTTTATAACTACCATCCTGTCTCTACCAACTGAAACTCAGACCCCAGTAAAAACCAACAGACGGAGGTCTGTTAAACTTTAACAATCTTAAACACATTTGGAGCCATTTTTAAAAGTATCATCTCACTTAATAGGGTTTGCATTTTTCATTAAGCTCCAGCGGCTCATTTCATTGTGTTTCTGTAAGTACTTTGCCAACATATGAGGCGACAGATGGAGGACATTCCTTACCTGGGCCCACACAAAAGACCTTGTCAAAGTCAGCACAGATGCACATCTGCTTGTAGAGCTGAGGGGACTGGGCCAGGTAGGCGCTGGTTTTAAAATAAGATACCGTGAAGACGTTCGCACCACCTTCACTGGCAGCTAGAAGAGGACAGAGACCACTTTTAGGACTGATGGGACAACATTATTGCCCTAAAGCACAAAATGACCATTTACAGACAAGGACGTTCAAAAACTAGAACCTAAACCTTCTCCCACAACGCCTGAAAGTCATGCACAGCAGCTGTTCATAAGAAGTTTCATAGAAAAGAAACAAAGAGCATCTTCTTTGTACTATAGAAAACATTATTTTGAGCACTCATCAGTGAGTTGTGGCATGTTTACCAAGTATAGATCTCTGGATTATATAAGAGGGAGTATTCGTGCGTGACACATCTGCTACTCCGTTTTTGTCACACGTGTCATAAGTGCTGTATATGGTATTCTCGTGTCGTCAAACTTTGGGTGGGGGTTCACACACAGAACGAACTGTACACGGTTGGTGAAGTGGGTGTTGGCAATGCAGGAAGATGTGGTTTTGCAAAAAAGTACACAATGTTGTTTCACAGATTCCGCCAAAAAAGAAAAAGAGCGGCAGGTTTGAATCTTGCTGAAGCCTCGATCATTGGCTCCTTCAAAACAGAGGAAGTGAAAAAGATTAAAAAAACTATTTAAAAAAAAAAAAATGCGGGCACGTGGTCATGCTGCATAAGGAACTTCTACATGACTAACATGCTTTAACATCATAATTTCATAATGGATTGACTGTTCTAAAATTGATTTAAACTGAGCATTATGAATCTTATTTTGTTCCTATCATATATTTGACTATTTATCCATAATTTCGATTTTAAACATTACATTTAAGCAGGGTTTTCACTCTAATCCCATATCTTTTTGAACTTCATATTGAGAAAATAATAGCAAAATAAGTGACCCAGTTTAACCTACATTCAGTACTATGTTTTTGTTTGTATTTTCCTTCAGTAATGCGATTTAGGTTATTTTTTGGAATGATCACAATGAAAGCCTGTGACAATTTCGAAACAGAGCACCAGATGAAAAGGAGGTGAATGTGTAAAAACTCAGAGTGGGCTGGATGACTGATTGTCACATATAGGTTTTAAAAGTCTAAAACCCACTCCGAGCTCTTACCAAATTTAAAATTCATTCAATTCATTTGTCGTCCAGAACCAAGCCACTAGACAAGTTGTCCTTAAAACTGTCACACACTGACTCATATGAAACATGTGGGAGGCAAAACTGAAAAGGGAAAGAAAAAAAGAGAAATTGGGCCATGACCGAAACTCTGCATCTCCATGTAAGTTTCCCCACAAGACAGGTATATTTAGCAGCTATATTTTACCTGATATTATTTTAGGTGTCTGGATTTCCACGAAGCCCTTATTGGTGAGGGTGTCTCTGAAAAGCTGGCACACTCCAGACTGCAGGCGGAAGATGGCCTGGCTGGTGGTTGTCTGACAGAAAAAAAACAGACAAACAACTTAGAGTGATTCATTACATTAATTTCACAATCCCACCAGATGTGTAAAAAATGTTTCAGCCTGCACGAAGGTTGAAACATTTATTTGTTGGCAAGGATGAGACACAAATTCAAGCTCAGCGAGAGCCCCAGGAACTTAAAACCCATCATTATCAATGTAGATGCAGAAGGCAGGGCAGGGAGTGACGTTTCTCAGACTGAATCAGGGGATGTGTAAAAACCAGACCATACAAAAAACCCCAAGAGTGTTACAGTTAGGCAACAAAGCATGTGGAAAAAACACCTAAATTCAATTGAATCATAAAAATAAAAAAAAATAATCGACATGACAGCAAACCTTGATAACTGTCCTGTTTTCACTACCTCAGCAATACTGACGAGGCCTTGTCTGATTAACTGCCGGCAGAAGGGAGAAGTGATAATGTTTAAAATACTGGAAGGCTTTTTACTCTGCAGACAATGCTCTAGGGCTGTCTGGTTCTAATCTTCAACTTCAGAAAAATAAGAAGTGAAAAAAGAAATGTCCCGAGCAAACAAAAAAACTTTTACCAACACCTCTGCAAATCTTTGAACCACAACATCAATGACTCATTGGCACCACACATTTCCCAGTGGGCTGTGCCCCACGTTAAACCCGGGAAAATCAGTTCAAAGGCAGTCTCAGTGCGACCATGTGCAAAGCTTCGAAAGCACTTCCTGTTTACCGGCACGTCTGCTGCGAGAGGTGTGATGGTTGACGGGTAGGTAGCTGAAAGTGGCAGGTTTCCTGATGATGTGGTCTTTAAAAGGTGTATCTGATCATGGCATGGCTCTTTCAGCCGCAAACTGCCAGTTTGAAACCTACCCGTGGTGATGATACACCACAGCCAGGTTTCAAATCCCCATTAAACGTAACATTTGCCGTAGTTAATTTCAAACTGGGTGAAGTCATAGATGGAATTGGTCTGTGATGACCACTGAATATGTGAAAAAGTGCTGTGAGATGTTTAATTAAAGCCAGTAACAAGTGCACGTGTCGAAATCACAGCAAAGACGTAGATGAAAGAATCTGCCAAACTGCTTTTTAAGGACACGGTTCATTTCTGTCTCTGTCTGCACACTCAAGTAGTTCAGCATACTTGAGCTGGTCATGCATGTGTGCAACAAGTGGATGGTCAGCCTCTGTCCCGAGTACTTTGCCTGACAACATTTTCAAAGAATGGCAAAAAAACAAGCACTTTCACTAAAGCACTAAAAATGAGTTAAGTTGGGATTTGTATTAGTACTTTGTACTTACATGTATTAGCACTTCAGAGCTTAACAGTGTTTTTTTTTTAAATATATATGTCACTACGTTTGACAGCTTCAGGTAAGAGGAAAAACCAAGAAAAGAAAAGAAAAGAGCATTTTGCCCCGGACCTCAATCCACCATTTTTTTTAAAAGCTCTCCTGCAGAATAATTTTATTTTAACCTTTATTTATAGCACCAGTTTCACATCCAAGTCAACTCAGCGGCCTCACGAGTCAGTCGTTTTATCTTTATATTACAGCAGCTTGTTGCTATAAACCGCATCCACAGTATGGAGTATTACAGTATGGACTTGGTGTGAAAAAACCACAGTGTGAAATAAGAAGTAGCAACATCCAGTATGAGTATTACAAAATAATAAACCCCAATGGATGAAAAATTACATAAACAAGAAAAAAACAGCTTGATTAAAGATATTTTTAGCTATTTACAAGACTAACAGACATATTGTTTTAGAAGAAATGAGACAAAGGAACTCAAACTCATCAATGGCAGTGAGGCTGAAAAACAGGTGAACTTTTGAAAGATTTCTCAGAATTAATGAGAAAACTCTAGAAAGTGCAAATGTCAAGTTCTTGTAAACTTCTACATAGGAACAACAGAAAGTAAAAAATGAAAGGGAAACTGCAATCCCTGACAGAAAGACTGCAGTAGGAGATTAAGCCTTATCATCAGCACCACTGGTACCCATATTTTGACCCCCAGAGTTGCAGTGTGAAAAATGTCTGTGTGTGAACAAAACAAGCCCAGCTGCCATCTGAAAAGTCCTACGGATGTGTCCTCGTCACTATCACCTGTAAACAGAGTCAGTTTATGACCTCAGATTGTGAGAAGAACTGGTAGGGAAATGTTCGGAGGTCATCCTGAGCATCACAATCCTACTCCAAGTGGATTGTCTCAATCAAAAAAGTGTCCAGATGTCTTGCAGAAGCTCAGAACAGTAAACTTTTCCACTGTGCATTTGTGTGGAGCACCTGATGTTTAAGTATGGTGTTAGGGGAGTTTCATAGGAACTAAATTATTATTAGAGGAATTTTATAGGTCCCTATTGGAGTGTTTGTCTGCCTGTGTGGGAAACACTTTACAGCTTCTCTGGGCTCCTAAGTGCAAAACTGATGACAGGCCGTCGTCTGGAGCTGAAAATGCGCTGTGCTACAGAAACAGGTGTTGTTATGGGGCCCGTGAGTTTGGTAGCTCTGTGCTGCGGTGTCGATGCCTTCCTGCCAGCCGCATCATCCATACTTATCAAAACAACTCTGTGCCTTCAGCCACTTGTATGGGTTTAGCACATCTCCCACACAGAAACAGCTTACTAAATCACAGACGCTTTCGCTTTTAGTGTTCCAGGGCTTTGTTCTATTTATTCTTTGTAGATTTTATGACTGCTTGCTGTCTGTTTGATGTGGAAAAAAAACTTTCCATTCGTCCTGCAATTGCATCTTTTGTGAAACTTCTAAATGCAATGCTTAAATGAGTTGCAAAAGTACCCTATTTTACAATATGGACTATTAAGACATCAAAGCTATTTTTATCATGGCATTTGCAAACGTGTGGATTACTTAAATCACTCAGTTATCAAGGGAATAAGTACATTTAAACAGGTAAGACCAGTTTTGTCTTTCGTTGTGTGTACCTTAAAGGGGAAGATAAATAAAATACACATTAACACAGTATTTTCTGAAGCTCTGATAGCTACTTACCCTGAGATCAATCACTCTGTTGTCCAGTTTGGTGTCCTGATTAACAGTGGCTCTTCCTTCCTGAGGGCAAAAGCAGAACAAATCATCTTTACATATAGCTGAACTCTTTCCAAATTTCACAAAAGCAAAAAGATAAATCCATACATCTGAAAAGGTGCATTTAATGAAACCTACAATATTCAAAAGCAACAGAAGACTTGCATTTGGAAGACAGAAAAAAACATTTTATGGAGTCATACAGTAACTATTACAGACCGAAAAACAAAATAAAACATCTGGACACTGAGACAACAGGGAACTGGTAAGGAAAAGAGAGCAAAAAAAAGAAACAAATGAAACGTAAATGTTTCATCACAGGAGGAACCACAGCTTCCAGGGTCATGGATGTCAGGCTTCCTCAGAGGATCCACTGGGGTTTGAGCTAATGGCCTGTTTAGCCACATCCTGCTCCAAAGCGCCCCATGCTGAGGGACGAAATGTAAGACTGGCAGACAGACAAACAGACAGAGCTGTTGAGGCTAGTGTCTCTGGGGATCACAGGTGCTGCTACAAGTGTGTGACGGGTATGTTGAATCGTGTGTCAAAACACACCTAAGATGCTGCTCCAGCCAAAGGCATATGATCAATCTAAAGATGGCGAAAAAAAACCTTTTCCATCCTTTCCATGTTAACAATAACAATAAGAAAGCAGAACTATATTTTCCACTCGCTCTAGACAGTCCTCTTCTTCAAGGCATAAAGTCTATTGAAGCTGCTTCACAGAAAAGAACGAATGAAATGGTAAAGAGTAAACTGAAACTGAATAATCAATCAAAGCTTTATTAAAGTGAATTGCTAGAACTTACACCAAAACAACAGTAGCCTCAACCACTTATTGTTTTTTAACTGTGGCTGAGAAAAAGAATGACTTTTTTAATGCTTCACGGTTCTCTCAAATGATTCAGCATCCAAGCTCAATTTTTTCCATTTTAAAGAACTCCCAAAACACTGACTGCTGGCTCCAGTAAACTGAGAACTGAAATAACATTTTGCATTGAGAGCGATGAGTAAAACAAGGAAATTAGATTAAATTATTCGATCTGAGTCTGCCGAACAAAAACGAATCTCTGATGCCAATAGTATTCAAATCGAGTCCGACTGGACTATTATCATTTTGCTGTTGATCTACGTTTAGACCAAACTTATTCTACACAATATAAAACATAGTTGAGCAAACTAAATATTTTTTTGTTAGCTGACATTCCGCTGTTGAGTCTTTGTTTACTCAACATTCTCCACCATCTTCTCATTTGCCATGTTTGTTGCACTGAAAATAATTGAATCTAATACTTTGCATTTGTTGGGAGAGAAGCTAGAAGAATCTGATCTGAAGTATTTATGAATTTAGATGACATGTGCTCCCCTCCCTCATTCTCACCTCTTCTCCCTCTCCATCAGGCCTCACAGCATCCTCCAGCTGCAGGGGGAGACGAGGCTCTGCCTGGCTGATGACAAAAATCTGAACAGAGACAAGCAAAGAGCACAAAAACTAAACATGTGGCAAAACACATTGCTTCCAATTAAAACCATTTAGAAAACGGAAATGACCCAGACTCCACATACTGGTTAAGTCAAAGTGAAAGTGACTGTGAGCCTGCTAAAACCCCACCTGGGCCTACATCGCCTACAACTGACTATGAAGTCAATCTGTTAGACTTCTTAGCTGATGCCCACAATCAGGTGTTTTACTGTTTTTAATATTGCTGCTATTTGCTACATATTCAACAATGAATTAATTCATTTTGCTACCTCACTGTGTCAAATATTCCATCTAACATCCTTAAAATTCTTAAAGTTCTCCATAATGAATACAGGAAGTACAGAGTCAACTGTCAACGCATTATCAACTATGTCTTATTGTGTGCTGAAAGGAGGACTTAAACTTCTTTTTTTTTGCATTGGGATGAGGGCGTACATTTACTTAACAGTACGTCCGTGCTTCCAATGTGAGCAGACATCAAGACGCAAATGAAAGACATGAAACACTAATGCTTCTGAAGTTTGGAAGCTTTAGAGGGGGCATTTGTATTTATGTGTAAACTTAAACAGTGGTGCATTAGAGTAGGGTGTATAATCTTCTATGTGATGCTGCTGAACGTAAGCGCACCCTCTCAACGTGGAGCTCCACGTCCTGCTGGGAACAGCTCTCGATCTTCTGCTCCACTTTCCTCACCACGGCCTCCACGTCTACGATGCTCTCCTTGGTAATGCTGGAACAGTGTAAGCAACAAACAGCACTCAGTAAAAAAACAAAAACAAAGCATTCATACATTTGTGTTAACACGGCAGTCCGGTTGAACTCTGACCCACGTTCGCAGAAAAAACTTTTACACTTTTCTTGCTGAAATGATCACAGTGCAGTGTTGCATTTGGGTGAGGGACTGCGACTCGGTGTTCTTTCATTCATTTTCAGTTGTCCTAAATATAGCGCAGCATTGACGTTTACTGACAGGCGAAAGGGGGCGGTTAGGATGGCTCAAGAGTTTGTGGGTTTCAGAAAAACATATCTCCCCCGTTTTCCCCTGTTGCTACAATCAGCAGACCACGATTATAACAGGCAGACCACTGTTTTCAGCCATATTATTTCGTGTGCTATCGCGAATTCAGTTTGAGAACAACACGAAAACAGAAAGAAATACAGAATCGCGCCATAATTTCAGCCACTTTGAAATAAACTTGGTCAACAATAAAATGCCAGTGTCACATCATAATCCAATGACCTTTTGATTTAGGAAAAGTACAGTATTGAATGCCATTTTTGACCAGTTTAACTGTAAGACAGCTTAGTAATACCAAGTGTGGACAACAAACAAATAATGGAAAAGTAAATAAGAGGATGCATTGTTGTCATATGCAGTCTCACAGTTTTCAAACTTGTTCAATGACTTTCAGTCACACAGGATGTAAATAAACAGAAGAGGTTGAGCTAGTTGGATTTGTGAGCTCAGACAAAACTTTCTGCGTCATTGTGGGCTCCTGGGAAGTACCCAACTAACAACAACCAACATTGAGAGCAGAGGTAAGAATTTCCCAAACACATCGAAATGAAAGTAATCTGAAGAATACCCAGGGGACCTGTTTTTAATTTCACCACCGCAGGCTTTAAAAACAATCCACTGTCTCTATAGTCAGGCTTCTAGCTGAAACTCTGAGCATCATCCAGGATGAGAAGAAAACCACCCACTGCCAAATAGCGCAAGGCCAGATGGGAAGCCTGCTGTAATCCGTCACTCATCCTCATTAAAAAGCAGTAATGAGGGACTGAACAGTGAGGCACTGCTGCCCCTTCAGCCCCACAACAGCTGCCACCACAGTTCTTCCTATCCAATAGATCAGTAAAATAAATAAATCCCCGCATTAATAACTGCCGCCGTCGGGCCCCAGAGGTGGCTGGTGACAACACATTGAGCACACACTGGGAGAAAGACAGTGGAATTTGACAATGTCACAGGAAAATGAGCCGCATGAGCCAGGGAGAAGAGCGTAAAGGGTTAAAAGGGCTTTAAGACCTAGTTAGACCCCTGGGAAAAACAGGATGGTGAGGTCTGCAGCCTCAACAGCAGTCCTCCTTTGGCCAAAACAACACTGAGGTCATGCTAGAGTTTTTAAGGTGAGCAAGTGGCAGTTTTGGTACCAGAACACCAGTCCTTCAACCTGTCACTAGATCTAGTTGTTGGTCTAAACATTCCTCTCGACATGAAATCTCTGAATGATTACTCAATGACTCAATTACTTAATCATGAAAACAAAAAATGCCCCCTTAGTAAATCTAAGACAGCAGGACTTTAGGATAATATGGTTCAGCCAAACTTCCAGGGGTCAGAGTAATGTGGTTTAAATGAATGATTAAGGTTTATACAAATGCCACACTCAATCCTCTAAATAACTTAAGCTGAATGAAGGCTGTGGAAACTGAAGACGTCTTCAGCTGTGTGTGAGAAGAGCACAATTTAGATATTTGAGAAAGATGAATTCCCCCAACAACATGTGCCTGTCCTCAGAATGATTATGAGAGGATTTCCCCTTAATCCAGCGTCTCGCTCAGCTTTTCGATCACCGCACCAAAGTGTGTGATACTAGATGAGGGAAACAAAGCCACAGGAACTAAAAGTGTCACCTGCTCTCGTTTATAGATATAACAAAATATATTTCTATGTTCAAGTAATTCAATTAAATATGTAATTATTCTTCTAAAAGTGACTGTACATTTGAAAATGCATCAATAACAACAAAAAATAAATAGATTTTAAAGTTAAAAATAGTTACTGGTGTATTAACCATTAAAGCAACAATAACTAATGATTTTTGCAACGATCACAGCTCTTCATTTGAGACCACTGTGGCATAAACCTTACACTGGATGATAATCACAAATAATGACCACCATGTTCAAAGCACACTACGTAAACCGTTCGAGGACAGCCTGACCTTTATTTGCATGTTTTTCCGTTTTTATATGGGATCGGTTGCTAGGCGGTAAAGTTTTGCAATGCGGTGTGACTGGCCTATCGCAAGACTGAAAAGTCCGATTGAGAAAATCCTCTCCTTATAGGATATCAACTGCAAACATATTGATAAGTAAGTAAATACTAATAAAACGAAAGAAGATCAAACTTGTGGATGATGTATTTGGTGTACAGTAAAACACACTGTGGTAAAAACGGGACTACATTTCCATAAACAGCTGTGAGCTACAGTGACAAAGTCATCTAAAAAAAAGAAGAGAAGTGGGTTCATCAGGTTGTCGGGGCAGCTGAGGTCAGACTTCAAACTGAGTGGCAGTGATCTCAGCATAATTAGAAACATATCCACCTCAAGGCGTGTTATGACGTGAAATTTGCACACAAATCCAGAGCCAAGTATTTCATAAGCAACCTATTACTTACCTCCTTATTTTTGTGTTCACATTTTGAGTAATTTTACATCTGTTGTGTGAAGTGATGCCCATTTATATTAAATCTGAGCAGGCGATTTATTCATAAATAAGTAACGCCAAGCTATTAAAAACCGTGCATGCTCAAACATTACTAGTGATTTTCTTTTTCATTTTTATTATTGTCGTTCAATGGTTTATCTTTCTATTCTGATAGAACTTTAGCTTGCATACACTTTGTTACAAAGATAAGCAAAAAAATCGTGCAAACTGCACATACTTTCCCAGCAGGAGCGAACATTGACATGGTCCTTTCTTCCAATTCTTGCACTTTTTCGCGAATAAAAAAAGTAAACATATGTCTTTCGTTTTTATCGTAGTTTCTTTGTAATACAACTGGCTGTACTATATTTGCTGCTCGTTTCAAAGCTAGATAGAGAAGCTGAGGGGGGCTAGGTACAGATTAGAGAAGAGGTGTTCAGGCCTGCTGCGTGTATGAAGCAACTGTCTGGAACAGTTATGAGCACTAACACATTTCTTAAACATTACTCTGTTTGCACCGTCTGCAGATAACAGCTTTAAGAAAAAAATTATTTTCTCCCAACTTTTCACAGAAGGCCAAAAATGGCAGAAATTCATGGGGCTGCGGGCAGCATGTGCTACTGAAGAGAAAACCTATTTCAAAGTGCATTCCGCACAGAAATCTCTGCATTGCTTAAGCTCAGAACCAACTGCCGTTTTGGGTGTTACCCTTTGCCTAATTTAGCAATATCTACAGAGAATCCACTTAATGCATAACAATTAAAGTCTTCCATGTTTAATTCACTTAAACTGGGCGTGATTGTTTTGAAAGCCATGCATATTTCACGATTGCATCATAATAGTTTTCTACATAAATTCAAACTCAAAATGATGTGTTTTAATGTCAGTCTAAAGCAGTGTTATGATCACTTCTCCTCACCATTCCATGTAGAAAAGTTGCATTCACTGACTACCACTTCGCTGCAAACATGACTAATGATGCTTGGCACTTAAGAATGCCTTTCTCCTCCAATCCATGCTGCTGTATCTGCTATCTCCACAGGAAGTGCTCCATTAAAACACTGCTGTATTCCACCTTATTAAAAGCCGGCTTTGGCTGTCAAGTGGAAAACAATGATTGATTGGCCCTCCCACCCCCTCTACTCAGAATGTGTGAAAATGGATCAGTGGACGATTAGGGCCCTGGATTTTCCCACCATTGTTTTTGCCACGTTCAACAGGAAAAACAGTCTCTGTACTTACGCTGCTGCAAACTTGACCATCTGCTTGCTGGCACGATCTCCCACTGCGATTAGTGCTTGCACGTTGAACTGCTGCTGACGCAGGACCAAGAAGCATTGCTTCCCTGGAAGCAAAGCAGCAACAATAGATAGTGCATACTTCACAGGTTTGTTGCAGTCCGTTTGAAGCGGCGTAATCTGATGTGTGACACCGAGTGGAGAAGGTGTCCTGCAGCTGCACAGATCAGGTAGAGCATCAAACATTTGTGAACACAGTCGTGTGTTTGAAGAGCTCTGTGTGGGGAAAGTGTGATTGCTGTCTTCCTATCAAACGTGCTCTCGCGCGCACACACACACCGAGGAAGAGTGTAAACAAGAAAGCCTACAAAAACTCAGAGCGGCAGAGAGCCGGACCACCCAGACACTTTGAAGTTGGCTGCCTGTGAGAATGAGAAGGGTGGAGGAGATAATAGCAACCAAAATCCCACCAACAGATGCACCTCATCCCACACCAAATCAGGATGTTGCTGTGCTGTCACGGACATCCTACAGCGAGCACAGAGAATGAAAACACAAGTGAATAGGAAGTGACTCTTGACTCTGGAAGTTATTTTAAGAGGAAATGGCAAAAAGGCGAGTATTGTTGAGCCCTTGGTCTATTTGTAATCACAGTTTTACCACAGTAGGGAAAATGAAGAGTTGTTTTAACATAGAGGTGTAATAAACTCAGTGAGTCCATTGTATTCAAACGGAGTAGCTTTGTGGCTGCCAACAGTTGGAACCAAAAGAGGACAGGTTACTCGATCTTCCAGTCGGCAGTGTGATGTGCCAATTTGATAATGATATTAGAATTACCCCCGGGACGTCAAGGACAGAGGGTAAAAAAAGAAAAAATCCGATTTGCAAGTGTACACATTCTTTAAATGGGGAATGTGATAATGAAGTATTATCAAATTCTATTTTGTTCTTGGTTTGTTTGGTGTGTGATGCTACAATCAAAACATCCAATGTCTTTTACAGAGTTGGACATAAAGAGCGTGATGTCACTTATTGAGGTCTTTAAAAGAATCCATCAGCACCAAGTCAAACTTGGCTGCATTTGCTGTTTGATCTTGAAGTGAAAGGAGGGCGGGGGAGAAATAGCCCAAGGGCAGAAGTTCTAGACTGTTGAGTATAGCACACCGAGGATTAAACCTAAGGCATCTCATCATGGATGTTTAAACTGCTCAAAGAGCAGAAGGTTTTTACGAGCCGAGAAACGCACACAAAAGGCTTGTGGGTTGGGGGCTGGATGATCTCACCTTTGGCTCTGCTGGTGTGGACTCGAGCACGCAACCAGATCACCTGGTCAGCTTTCTCAGGGGTGAGGTGTTGGACCTGCACCAGCACCCGGTCTGGTTCACAAAAACACACACAAAAACACACTATTTCATACATATCAATATTTCTTTACAATTATCATTTCAAAGACTTTTTCTTTCCTAATTTCTTCCCTTCTGAGCCCACATGATCATACCTTTGTGCCCCCAAAGGCAGAAAGAAACGAGAATAAGCATGAATGTGCTTGTGTAGAGGCAAGCACAATAAAATGATCAAATTACAGGCATGCCTAATAAATAAGACACACTAGGAGGCCTGCTGAAAGCTGTCGAAAACTCAGCTATTCTCTCTGGGCTTCATGACAAATTGACTTTAGTTTCACCTGTATCACTCTGAGGCATGCTTACTTTCTTATTATCAGCAGGCAGGAGAGGCAGACACTGAGGCTACACTGGAAAAAAACAGAGCCGTCTCTTTGGCTGAGTACTCTCCGTCGGCCCACATGAAAGTCTCACACTTCACCCCCCCCCAGTCCCATCCCTGTGGCTGTGCTTGGCATGCAGGTGAGGGAGGCCCCGCTTTGTCTAGTGCCACTGGAGCTGAAAGAGCACCGCGACATATGGACGACGTGAGCAGGTCCGTCTGCTGCCTGACTCATCGGGGAGTTCGCAAACATTAGTAGTTAAAGCAATTATCACTGACATCAGCAAATTTGTGATGAGAAGTAACACCAAAAAAACACTTTTCGTGATGTTTATCACGTGTAATCGTGTTGCATCTGGACTTTCAGTAGCCAGATTAAAGATATCCCTCTGAAATACAACAGGTTCCACTTCATAGAAAGACTTTTAACTGAATGTTTGAATGCGTGCTCAACCTGTTTCTCCCAACAACAGCTCTGAACCACGTGTGACTTTATCTTCATTGAAACATGTGTATAGCGTGTAGCTCATGCACATGGGGTCATCTTAAACTGTCTGATCATACACAATCTTAATCGGAAAAAAACCCCAAAAAACATTGGCCCTATTAACTAATTCACTCATCTGACCAGATACAACTCTAAATGACCCACAAGTCAGTAGGGTAAAAACGGTTCTTATTATTTTTCGATTCTTTATACTCTGTTTCAGCTAAGTTGTCAACATCCTGTATGAGAGAAATGATTTACAGGAAACAGAGTAAACTGCAGAATGTAGATAAGCAACGGTCTCGAAAGCTGAAAAATTATGAAGACAAAAACCACTGAAATGATTTATGTCTTTATGTCATCTATCTCCACTTAATCTGTTCTTCACACTTTGTGAGAAGGGAGGAATGAATACATTCTTATGCAAGCAGGTTTTTCTACAGTTTGAGCTTTCTCGTAGCAAACAACACTGAACAGCAGGCGCACAAACACACACATGAAGCATATGAAAAACTCCAGTGTGACGCTTTGTGCGCGATACGAATACCGAGACATTCTATTCATCCTGTTTGATTGAACACTGAATCAGTGTGTGGATGGGCTTGTGAGTGAGGATGATAGCCATACTGACCCAGCTTTTGTTGGGACTGGACCATCACTGACACACCATAGCGGTCTTTGGCGAAGTCCTGAGAGGATAAAAAATAAAAAACACAGCACACCTATTAGGACGTGTACATCAGATCAGTGTTGGAGGCGGAAAGCTCTGGTGTTTTCATTTCACAAGCGTCTGACGTCTGTCTGTCTACTACGTATGAGATAAGGCACAGACAGAACAGATAAAGATTTAGCACCACAACAGGAACAAAAAAAAAAACGTTAAAAAGGAATGCCGAGTGGCACATACTGGCAACTGAGTAGAAATTGTTCTAATGGTGTGAAAGCAGTCAAAGTCTTAAAGGCAGGCAGAGAGCCGTCCTAAGAGGATAAGTGTTGTGATCTGTTGGGGATGCTTACATCTTCCTCTGTGCTTTGTTGTTCGGCAGCCTGAAACACAAAAAGGCGACAGAGATGTTAAGGGGCGTTGCGAATAGATGGTCCTCTCGTTATTTCCAGGCCATTAAATTCAAAAATATAAACTGCTTCAAAACATTCCACTTCAAATGGGGACACATTTTGCCACAACACTCGTGTAAATTGTGTATTCATCTTGAGCTATCAGGGATTCAAATGAAATCAATAAATCACAACGCAGTCCAAGAGCCAGGCCTTAGATCCCGGCACAGCGTTTCAAATTCCTCCAACACATCACAGACAATGAGTAATGGCAGCAGGAGATATTGCTATGCAATAGAAACAGTGTAAGTGGACAGATATTGTTTATCACTGCACTGACTTGTAGGCAAATGGCTCTCGGAGCGAGACAGTATTGATTCCTGGCAATGGCACAGTTCCATTTTCTAAGCAAATTGATACTGGTGTGTGGAAACGGCTGGTAGCTGTGGAGTGGATGGAAACCACCCATCCTTGATATGATAATCTAGTCACATGACAGATGACACTGAAGCTTATGATCAACTGGATATGGGCTGGCTACAGCCATAAAGCTCTGGAGCCACATCGGTCCCAGAAAAGTGACAAGTGTTTTCAGAATAAAGTGTGGAGCTGAAACACTCAGCAAATAAACATTCAACTCAGCTTTCAGGTTTTTCTTGAGGCACTGCTCACTGTGCCACACTGATGTTGGCAGCAGGAGCCAGTGGAGCTGACAGCCACGGCACCTGCTTCCACCATGAAATGATCCTAACTGAATTCATTCAACCGGAAAAATGTATGCTGCTTTCACTCCTCAGAAAACACCAGATGACAGGGTGTCAAAGCACAAGGCTCCATTTTACAAGACTTTCCTCCTTTACTAAGCAGTTTTCAAACCAAGGTTATGCCCATGGAGCATTGTTCAATTCCACTGCTTTGATCAGTGAAGATTAGGAGGAGAATATAGTGAATGTGACCAGGACTGAAATCCATGTTCTCCACAGAAAACCAGAGATTTAGTCACATCTCATATTAAATAAAACCGAGAGCATCCAAATGCTATGATGCGGCATATTGACTGCATTTCTGCAGACATATTGATTCTAAACTAATGCTCCAAATTTCAAGGTGTAATACGAGGTTAAATGGAAAACTTTGAAGAGCAAAGCTGAACTTTAAGAAAAAAGCATTCAAATAAACACAACTTGATCAAAAAAAGAAAAGATATCAAAATTTAGATCCTGAAAAACATTTATATATCCTAATTGGGTTCATTTCCAAAGTTAAAAAGAGTGAAATAAATTGTGAAATAAAATGGAAATGTGCAATATGATACGGTGTTATGTAATACACAACACTGGCACCAGCTCTGCATGCTTTGTTTAATAGAAACAAGAAGTGATCAGCTTGCACATGTCTCCACTCTGCCAGATGATGATGTCATTAAAGAAATAGCTTAAAACCTTTGCTTTTTAAGGAACAGCAAAAAGTGAGTAAGAAGTTAAGATAATGTCTCAATTCTTCAGTTAATTACGCATCAATCTGTCGACAGCACCTCCTGAATGCAAGAACCTTTCAACGGTTTTCAGCTTTATTAGGAGGATTGGTAAAGTGTTGCGTTAAATGCATGTATTCCCAGCCAAGAAGAACAGGACTTTGTTTTGAGTCAAAATAAACACAACTAAAATGGCAGGAATACCTGAACAATGGACACTTTTGCCCCCCTGTCGGTTTACCAACCCTGCAGAGTCCACATTGCCCACCATAACAGCACGTCACAGCCTTACCAGCTGTGAAGGGGTGAAACATCAAAACAGATACCAAAAAAAAACAGCTGTACTGACCAGCTTGGCTTGTTTCTCAGCTTTCTTTGCAGCTTTCTCTGCTTCCTTCTGCTGTTTCTTCAGGGCTTTCTTTGACTGAGCCTGCTGATCCTCCTCCGCCGCACTGAAACAGGAGGAAACGCACAGCATAAACATGAAAGTCAGCTTCCACCTTCCATTTCTCCTGCACTCCACGAGGAAGTAGTTGACCGCCTGGGAAAATTAATTCTCAGCCATCACAGCCCTCAGCTTTCAAGTCTGCGCTACCTTTAATCTTATTGTTTTTTCAAACCAAATGACTGTGGCCCGGATGAAAAAAATGGGTGAGAGTTTGAGAAGCAGCTAATACTGAGATATCAGACAGAAAGATTAGCTACATAAAAACTAAGGCTCTGAGAATACATTAGCCTTACCGACAACTAAATTTGAGGAGGTCGCGACTATGTAACTATGACAACATTTTTATCATCATCTAAAAGGTCTCCTTATTTGCTAAATAACACATAAGACATTTTTAAAATGTGACGGTTACAGGGTAGTAGTATTAAAATAGTAACCAATACAGTAATATATTCCATTCCAAACTGATTTCGGTATGTACAATACAACACAAAACATCATAAATCCGTGTACACAAGTACATGAATCCTGATTTCAAATTGAGGTAATTGGAAAATATGCTTAGAAAACTGAGTGCAAAAGGTTATGCTGTCCTACATTTAAACATCAACGATGATGCTTTGGACTAATCCTTTATTTTTGGCCAAGATTGTCAAGTGGTTAATGATGAAGCAGCAATAAACCCGCTTGGCACAGACTTCACACGATTAACCGGTTGGACTTCACACTAAGACTTTTGTGCTACAATGCTAAGATTGCAGGTGAATAAAGCACTGGTTGGCTTCCCAAAATGCCAGGTGTCTTGACCTGGAGGAAGTCCATGAGGACCGTGAGAGCTGCCCCTGTTTAGTCATAGGAAATAACAAGGACCAAAGGCGACTCTGAATAGAAACAGAGCCTAAACAAAAACTAAAATCAAAACATATTATGACTTCCAGGGGAGGACTTTAGACCACAATTGTACTTCCCCTACTGCCAAATGTGCAACAAACACCAACTTTATAACAACTAAGTCAGTCTGTGACACATATCTTTAAAATGCCTCCATTGTCCTGCCAACACAAGTGGTCAGGAGTCCCAAAGTGTAGTGGGCACACATGCACGGGCACACTGGTTACTCTTTAACAGACATTAGTGATATAAAGATAAAACTACACCATAACAGACCAATAGATGGGTGAGAACAGATAAGAACATAAAAAATGGCTTCAGGAATCTTAAAGTAACGAGAAAAGCTGAAGGTACCTTCCTCTAAAAGAATAAAATAAAAACACTGCAGCCATGTATATGACTTTTCTTTTTTCCACACATATTTTATCAGCTTCTTCAACTTGCAAGCAAATTTGAATCTCCCTTTTCTCCTCTTTTGGAGAGCAAATGTATCTTCGCCATATTAAATTTGCCAACAAAGTTGTATCATTCAGAAGTTCGTCCGTGTTGTGGTTGGAAGTCTGAACCAAAACAAGAACACTTTATGTCCAGCTGTTTTTACAGCAGGGTGAAATGTTGGATCACAAAGTATCACTACTCTTGGTTCATTTTCACAACACGCACTATCTACAGTAAGTTAATATAACAGACCAACTGCAATACCCTTTTTAACTACACTTCTACTAACGTTAACGTGGCTTATGCCCCGAGGGGGATCTGACAGCGTATATCGAGAATGAGCACTGCTAAATTCCTGCAAGTTTAGGTTCTCAAACCGAAAAAAGAAACATTGTCTTTTAACTGCTCCATGTTCTGTCTTGGGGGACATGCCCAATATTTTAGACACACTTGTAACACACCTACAACTTTCTAAGTTATTGCATTCAACTATCAGATGATGCAATCTCCAGCATGTTAAGGCAATGCATGCTAGCTGCTACCGGTGTGTGCTAGCACCGTTCAGAAGTGAATATCCGGGTGCAGCAAAGAGAGCTGAGACATTTCAGACAAAACTGGCACTGCCCTTACCCCTGGACTTCCTCTTTTGTCATGGCGAGCTATATTCTTGGATAACTGGGAAAATATAATTCTCAACTGTCTGATAGGGAGACGGACTGCATCAGCTGTTCGATGGCATGGACACGAAAAGGAAGGACCTGTTTTGTCGGAGCACCAAATACCGGATGCATGGGATTCCGGCGTGAAACGAATTACACAGTCTGGTTCCGACTACATTATTTTTGTCCGGCAGAAGGACAAAGCAGACAAAACAGGCAAAATGGTAATAGATTAGGGGTAATTACAGCCAGGAGTTGGTTCCTATGGGTATACCTTTCTCTGAAATAAGACAAGTTTAGAATAACACAGATTTGGGTTGAGAAAACTCTACAAAGATTAGATTAGAATAAAAGTGGATGATAAATCTAATAAACTATCAAGATTTTTGCTAAGCTTTTTTGGTTATATCAATTTTGTAAAAAATTACTTCCAATGACAACATCAAAATGACTAACTTATAAATAACAGCATGTCTATAAGTGCAATCTGCAGCAGCATTAGCAAACTGAATAAGTGTTGTATTTGGGTCTGCAGTCGTTATAAAGGGTAATCTCACTTCAGGGATATTTCCGTAAATTTGGGTTTATATCAGAGCCTCCATACTGGTGTTGCAAAGCATTATCATAGATAACATATCAGATAATGTTATTGTCTGGTCATTTACCAAATTATATTAATGTATGTTGTTCTTTGAAGAATCTTGTTTTGATGATATGTTGAAAAATCAAAGACAAAAGAAAAACAAAAATGACAAAAACAACATAACCCAAGGGGCCACCGTGCTTGGGAGGGTTTACATCCAAATGAAGAATAAAAGTGGTAAATTACTCTCACACCTTTGGATGAGGGCACTAGGTGCATCCAGGTATCTAGTGATCTTTGTAAGAAAAGCGGAGCACAGAGAGTGATGGTGGTATGAATACAGTCGGGGTGTAATCAAAGCTTTTCTCAGGCTGTTGTTTGGAGGAGCTCCTGATGAAGGAAACAGTCATCCTGCCGCTCACTTTCCAACTAAAATAACATAACCTTTAGAAGAGCATGTCACCGCACAAAAGGGGCTTTGCTATACAGTTTCCCTTGATTCTGAAGCCTTCAGTGGGCTTTAAGACTATATCTACTTCAATCGGAATCAGAAACACTTTATTAATCCCCAGGGGGGAATTGTTTGGGTCGCGGATATTGCAGCCAAAATTAGGAATAAGAATGAGTAGTTAAAAGGAGCACAACAATGTATACACTAGGGTTATTTGAAATACTGTAGCAATACAGCCATGCTCTGGTTGGGCAGCTTGCATAACCCCCCCTTTGATGCTTGGCATCAGGATGCACATAGTTAATGCATTACCAGCAGGAACAATTTCCTGCTGATTTCAATAACTTTAACCGGTCATTCATTAGATCAAACACAGACATACCTAACTTCTGCAACAAACCAGCATGACTTTGTTTCAACAAATTCATCACCAGTAAAAATGTGCCCAATTTTTTAAAGATCAGATTTTCTTTATGGTGCCATTCCAACTATATTAAAGATGGTCTTATTCTGAAATGGACCAAAATCTCTTTGCATCACGAAGTCAACAATTGAGACGTGCACATTTGTTTTTTTTCTTAGCATATAGAGAATAAAATAATGTTCACTTTAAATCTATGCTTTTCAGTGGCCTCAGTTTCTGCTAGGATAATTCCCATCCCCCGTTCCCTCCTCAATGGACCTGAATTTTGTCAAACTGGTTGAATAAATTGATGGATGGATGTGTTGTCGTATCATGACCAGATCCAATTACATAGTTGCTTAAACTTATGATGGGACACTTGGACGTGAATCTACTCTCTCTTTGTAGAACTCGCATTTATTGATTTATTTTGACTTTTGAATTCCTATTTTTTCTCTTTTTGATGGAATAAAACTAGTCTAGTGAGGCAAATGAAGAAGCTTACTGAAGCAAAGCACAGCGAAGGCTGAGGCACCCAAACGCTTATGCTAATTCAGGATCATTTGGGTACATTTCCAACTGAAAAAGCACCTCTTGTTTTATGCTTTTTCTCTGTGAGAGAGCAGCACCCTGAAACAGTCAATAACTTTAGGGCTTAATGGGAGCACTTTACACCCTTTTTTCGCATGTAAAGACATGGAAATGTATCTCCGTTGGGGTTTTGATGACTGACTGTGCTGTATTGTACAGAGGCCATTTAATGGCTTCATTCGCCCTGACTTCTATTGTTGTCTGTTTCCTTTGGTCTCAAACTTGAACATCATTCTGTCACCAGTCTAGCCAGATTAAATCTTTAGTGCATACAGCAGATAAAAGAGCCCAAAGACAGATTGATGTGGGTATGTGTTCAAAAGGTATAATTTGTATGTTTTATCTCAATGGTGTCTTGTTCTTGTGGATTTATTACACCTTGGTTATCATGTGAATCCATACAAAAGACAATGCCTGCCCATTTGCATCTAAAGACTATTTAACCAGAGTATTGAATTTTTGACCCGTCGACCCCTTGTATGAGGGTACTAAGGATATTACTTGTTTACAAGTCAAAGATAATAAAGGCAGTATATCTTGCAAACTGCAAACAAAGAAAATTAGACAGGAATATAATCTCTTTGTTAAGGAGCCATATGGGTGCTAATTATGAGAGAAGATTCTACCTTTTGTGTCAAGGCAGCTTAAGATGTAAAGTGCACAGATGTTCTTGCAATTACTGAGACAGTCTGCTCTCTCCTCCTGCTTTTCAGCCATTTCAGGTGGCGACATTTGTATGGGAGACTCCCCACTCATCCACCACCCAAGGCACAGGCGCTCACGCAAAAAAACACCCGCCCACTCCTCAAGGAAAGTCAGAGCTTGTAAAAAAGCATGCCACACCATAGTTATGAGAAGCACTCCAAAACTTTTATTTTTTTACATAAAAAACATATTAAAAAACTTAAAAAGCAACCTGCAGTTTTTCTTTATTTAACAAATATCCAGTGTGCACGACAGAAATAAATAACAAGTTTCAGAAAATCACACAACTTAAGTGCGAACATATAAAAATGCTACAAAACTATGTACAGGGCTTCCAAAAGCAGCTACCAGTCAGAAAAAAACAAAAGACGGTGTGTGGCTGAGCTCTGGTGTGACTCTGTATCTGGTTGTCAGATAACAGACCATTTGGACTGTAAAGTTGTAAAGAAATGGAACTGAAGCACTGCCACAAAGACACAATCTTCTTTGAGCAGTGAAACATAGAAAATTGCTACAAAAATCCTCACAAAAGCAAACAACTGCAGTTTTCATGGCATACAAAAGAAACGTACAAAGGTTGTTGTTTTTTTTTTACATGTGTACAAAATGTAGTAAGTTCTTTCAAATTAAAGCTTAAAGTTCTCCCTCCTGAGAATATTGAGGCTCTTAAGTGGGCCGGGAGTTAACTTGACAAAACACTTGAAGACTCGGACTCGGTTGACACGGATGAAATTGGCCCTCGCTTTTTGCTCATAAGAGTCACTTTCTGACTTGATCTACTGCTTTTACTCAGAGCACTCTTGGCTGTTTTCTTAAACTTCACTCCCAGGAATGCGTAGAGGATAGGGTTCAGGCAGCAGTGAAAATAAGCAAGCGCCTCAGTGATGGAAATCCACTTCTCCACTGCCTGCTGCAGCTCACACGTGGAAGAGACCACGTTTAGCATTATGAGCGTGTCCAAAAAGATGCCGGTGCAATAGGGCAGCCAGCAAATGAAAAAACACAGGATAAGGATGACCGTGGTCTTCAGCGCCTTCTTCTTCAGCGCCTGGCCCTTGGCGCCTTGCGACAGCTTGGAGATGATGATGCAGTAGCAGATGAGGATGACCAAGCCGGGCAGGACGAAACCAACCAGGATGTGCTGGAAACGGAAAACAACCGTCCATATCATGCTTTTCTCCGCCGGATAGATGCGCTGGCAGATGGTTCTGAAGTGGGGCGACTCCATACTGTCGGTTGTCTCCATGCTGTCGTTCATGAAGTCGAAATTGGAGGACTTTAGGTTCTGCACCCGGGCAAACACCAGGTCGGGTACAGTCAAAATTGCCGCGGGCAGCCACACACCCACGTAAATCACTCTGTTCGCCAGCAGCTTTCTTGTCGCTTGGCTGTTCGTGGCTCGCACGACAGCCAGATATCTGTCGAAACTGATGAAGGCCAGGATCAAGACGCTGCTGTACAGGTTGACCGTGTAGATCATGTGCACAGAGACGCAGAGGAAGCCTCCGAAATACCACTCTTTGGCCGCGTCCACGGCCCAGAAGGGCAGCGTGAGGACGAACAACAGGTCGGCCACGGAGAGATGGAGCCGGTATTTATCCGTCATCGTTTTGACTTTCTTCTGGTAGCCCATGACGACGACGACCAATCCGTTACCAACTATCCCCAGCATGAATATTATTCCGTAGACGGCAGGGAGGAAGATTTTGTTGAAGTCGTTGCCGAGCGCTCTGCCACATGGCTCCTGGAAATCAAAGTCTGGCATTTCTCCAGACTCGTCTGAGAAGTCAGTGGAATTGTCGAAAACGTCAAATGTCAGGTCAAGCTGGAAAAAAGGAGATAAACAGATTTAAAAACAATGACACAGATTATGAGCCCTTTTAAGCCTTTACATAGTTAAGATAACACACAAAATCCCCTAAAACATGCTTAACAGTGTCAAAATGCATCTAAAGATTCTACTTTTTCTCCAAACTAAAAAGTTTCACCAGGAATATATAAAACTCAGAAAAAAAGTCCAAAACAGCTGGAAAACGCTATAATATATTCAAACGAGCCTCAGGCAATTTGTCGTAAAGAGAACAAGACTTACCACATCCATGTTTACAACTTGTTATTCGTCCAACTTGAGGTCCTGTGAGAGCGTGTTTCCCACCGAGGCATGGAGTGTTTTAGATGAACCTGCATGCGTTTCGGAGCCTTAAAAACCCGGGGCTGACCCCTCCCCCCCGGGGGAGGAGGAACCGCGCCGAGCGCTCCAAAAACAGCTTCGCTATAAAGCCCCAAAAAACTCCGCTTGCAGCACGGAGGGGTGAAACATAGTCGAACTTTTTGTGCGTAAAAATAAAAAATGAAAAAAACAGAAACGAACGTCCGGTTAATGGAGTCAATTATATAAACAAAATGCCACCACGAATAGACGCGTTGCAGCTTGATGTTGGGATTTTCACTTTATTTTTATCTCTTTTCTAGCATTAATATTTTTAATGAAGATGATTCTGTCGAAATAGTCAAAAGATGCCAATCATTTTCGGGCATTTTGGTATTACTTATTTTTATTTATGTTAAAACAACTTTTAATTATATAAGCTTAATATTTTATATAAGTGTTACATAAGTACAATGACAAAATAAAAAAACTTAATATAAATGTTTTATCTACTAAAGAACCATGTCTCAAAAGATACCCCTGCAGAAAAAGTTAAGCAAAATTGACCAATTTTTGGATATCAAAGTTTTCTTCAGGAAATGCATTATTCTCTATGCAGTCTCACGTTTTTGAATTTCCCTCCTTCACGCTCTGACTGTTGGGGGGCCCCTCCCAGGCTTGATTTCTCTCTATGAATCACTTTGTAGCTGTGTCTGATGACAGTTTTCATCATCGCATGCCTGGATATGTCCACACCCTTTTCCATATTCTGTCACTTCTAAACTGCTGTTTTGTCTGGGGTTAACAATTGCTAACTGACACCCCCAGTGTGGGACCTCCGTCCAACAGCTTTTTGAGCTCCCCGTCTGTTACACAGCCAATTTCTCACGCCACTCTTGATTTTATTTGAGTTAGCGATGACAGGTCTAGATGACACAAAGCTCCGTGTTCTCCACTCAGGAGATGCTGTTTGAAATACAATGTCCTCCACAAGAGATGCACAATGCTGCTCGCTGTCTTTGATTTATAAGCGCGGTGACAGATTCAGTAAGTTGATCTGTGTCGGTTTTATCTGTAGTACGACGAAAAGCGTGAACACTGAAACTTAAGTGATGTTTAACGTCACAAAGATGCTCAATAGCATCTTTGCTGTTGCATAGATGAGGTGCTGTTGCGTTTGTACACCATCAAAATGAGTAAGTTTGAGGGAAAAAAGTCACTTTGACTGAATCATAAAAAAGTGATGAATCAGATGAACACCTGACAAGGTATATTGTTGCTTTGGGACTTTCTTCACCTAGAAGCACCGGACATTACAGTCTGTGCTTAAACACAGACAGGTTTTTATGTCATGTTTCTGCCTCATGTGACTTGAAATTGATCTCTTTATGAGAACGTGTATATCTTCTGTTCCACTGGCTGTGGCGTCCCATAAACCCACCTGCCGCGAGAGGCATTTGCACTTTCTTTTGAATGACGTCCACGGGTTTATTTTCTACATTTTGAAATTCAGAAATTGAGAAAAAATATGGGAGTCTAAGATGTAAAATGCATCAGAAGTTTGGTGATTATTACTTTAAGGTAACATTAAAAAGCATCAACTACTTTAGAAAAATGCATTAAGCCGAAAATTAGCTTTTGACAACATTTTAATCATACACGGCTGGATTTAAACGAAAGTGATAAGTGTGTGCGGAGGTCTATCAAAGCAATTGGTCCTAATCCTGTGTGTCCCATCCTCAGATCTTCCTGTAGCGGGACTCCCGAGGAGAGCAAACTCAGGGAATCAGCTGCCCAGAGAAAGGCTACTGTATGGGTATGATGGTCTTATCTACGCCATTCAGACACAGACAGTTGCTGTGTTATCTGTCAGCAAGCAGAGCCCCTGCATGTCATCTGAATTATACACAGCATTTCAATTTTTGCCTTCTCTAAGTCACTTTCATTGCAGAGGGGGAAATTCCAATGACTCACTTTTTGAGGCTGACCTCAAAGGGACCACCTCTGAAGCATTTGCACGTTTTCCAAATACAAATTTCTTTTGAGATGCCTCTAAGCCCCCACCCCCCTGCATGCACGTGCTTTAAAAATGAGACCTCGATGTTGCAATAATATAGTGGAAATGGAGGCTATTTCACCAAGGTAGAATTTCAACAGAGAATGTAGAAATTTCTACATTTTGATCTACGGCCGTTGATGCGTAATACAAAAGCTCTGCAAGTTCTTCTCTTTTACCTGTACTAGTGTTTTTGATATTTGACATTCTAACGGTCCCGTCATCTCTTTTATAATGCAGATTAACAAACACTGAAATTAAAATTTGCTTTCTTTCTAGTGTGATCCTCCTTGAAGGAATAGGAAAACAGGCATAAACAGTGCCCTAAAAAAAAACCTTGTTTTGCAATTCACATTTTCACAATTTGTGAGCCCTATGAGCACATGGGGCCTAGGTGATTTTGGACTAAGAATATTTCACTTTTTATATTAAACAAATTCTTTCTTTTGGCTCTAACAGTGTACCTGTGGCCTTCCATGTCAGCGGGAGGAATCAGATCGCTATCGGCCCAGAATGCAAAAGATTTGCCGGCCACTTCGAATACAAATCACAAGAAGTGTGAAAGGCAGCAAAAGGACCTCTTGGGCGAAGAATGGCTATTGAAATGAGGCAGGATAGTCCTGGCAAGATAAAGAGAAGAATGAGCGGCGCTGTTCGGTCAACAACAGCCCCTCCAGTTCCAACTCATCCCAGCAACTCCTCAGCAAGTTGGCACGAGATATTTTTTCATAATGATAGCTTGCTCAAATATCACTTTCACGGTTTTTTAAACTCACAACGCAGAAAAGAACACCCAGCCTTTGTTAGTGAGGTTGACTTTGGGTGTTGCCCATAAATGCACCAAAGTGTTTGGGTAACAGAAATACCTTTAATCTCATGTCTGGGCTCTGAAAAGTCTCTCTGGGCATGTTTTTCTACCCGTCTATATGCTAAGAAGAGCAGCATATGCTTGCAAAGACAAGAAATTTGAGAGATCTTGACATGATGCCTCAGAAATAGTATCATTTTCACATATGTATAATTCATCTGTACGCTCACACACTAATAGAAGACAAAGTACTGTGGCCTCTGTAATCTTGGTATGAGGATGGACCTTGGTGTTTTTAAATGATTTCAAATTGTCTGAATTCAACCCTGAATGTTTGTGCATACTTTGCTCACTATTCACCTTGGAATGCATAACTTTTTTTATCTACCAATCAGTCAAGGTTCTGTCAGTCTGTTCCTTTTGTTTTTCTGTCTGTATGGCTGCTAGGTGGGTGGGGGTGGGGGGGTGGGGGGGGCTGGTAGAGTGATCGGTGGCTCTGGGCCAAGATGAGTGATCCATCCTTCATACACTCAGCGCCTTTGTTTTGGTTTTGTCTCTTCTAAAGACAAGACACGTCAAACCTCTGTGAGCAAAACATGGCATCAGAAAAAATAATGGTTTGAGTGCACACGTTAAACCGACTTTAATCTCGAATGAGGATTCCGCACAGCAGTGACCATAAACTAACGGAGGCCATTACTCTTTTCCATGTGTTACATGACGGAACTGTTGCTGCCAGCGGAAATTGTTTTCCTGGCACAAATAAATATTAATGATCAGAAATCATAATTGAAAAAGAAATATTTGTCAAAGCGTCCGGTCTGCTTGCAATCTATATTTGGGCTCAAATAAAAGGCTTGTATTTGAACAATAGAGCCACTTTAAGGACAAAGCTTTCCCCTTATCTTTGGACTTCACCTTCTTAAACTTCCTACTTTTCTGTGGGGCTGAACGTGTTTTTGGATCTGTTTAAAACATATTTCTTGACCTCAGTGATGTTTCCGAACCTTACAGAATCCCAAACTGTGCAAAAGCCCGTGCAACATGATGAATATTAAAATGGGTTGAATAATACTTTCATTGCAATGCTTTTTGGGTAAATGTTAGTATCTATGTCATTGAGTTAGACTCTGGCTGCTCCTTTGCATTGAGTTACTTAGAAATGTATAAAGGTTTGGGCTTTTCACCATCTGTGGCCTTAACTGTCCCCTGTTAGAGAGGAATAAGGCTATTGTTGGCGTTCGTGGGTGACAAGTGAAAGCAGGTGACTTTTTAACCCCGAACATTTTCGCGCTGATTAACCCCAATCTTGTTGCTGCCTGTCATGACACGGAGTTCCCTCAGAATTCGACACAAGGGCATGAACCAGTAAAAAAAATGAAATGGTGACACTGCCCTTGAGCACTTATGGGAGAAATACATACACACGTGGCACCAATCCAAGTCACACGGCTGCTTGAGAAATTCGGCTGGTTGTTGCAAAGGAAGGGTGTTTTCTGTGAGCTCATGGAAGCAGGCTTGCCTTTTTCCTTTTTCACCAACGTCCCAATTGTGGTTTTATTTTGCAACAGTATTAAAATACTGCTGAAACGGTTATGTGTATATCAACAGAAACTCTGATAAGTTTGTGATAACTAGTCAAATTCAATGCAAATGAGCCTCTTTTTGACTATTTGAAAGTTTGCTTAACAGTTAACAGTTTACAAGCTCAATGAGAACATTAACTTTTATTGTTTTTTTTTTTTTTAAAGAAACATGGTAATATAACTACCACTGCCTCAGCATATCAGAGACCTGCAACAGTAAAAAAGAATAAAAACAGCTCCGTTCCGACTTTCTCCAGGCCTTTGGCTGATCCCTCTGCAGCATTTGTATTCAAGAGAAGATCACTGTGAGAGTTCTTTCAGGCGCTCTGCAGGTGGAGGTCCTCCATCTGGCGCGTGTGCACTGTGGAGGGAAGTCAGATGTGAACAGAGGCCCTGCCAGCTCGGCCTCGATCACCCCAGATAACAGCAACAATAGGCCAGATGACACAAGATAAGCTTTTCAGTCTAGTGACCACAGGAGGGAAAAAGGGAAACAAACCCACTCCCAATCCAGACAGTTGTTTACCAAAACTATTGCTATTACTACTTTGAAAATGAAAAGCTTTAAAGATGAGTCATTTAATGATATTTCAGTGGAGACATTGACCGGCGCAAATGTTATTATCATTCTTATGGGTACTGCTTTTTCCTTCTTGTACTGATGCAGCTGCCATGGTACATGTGGATAGCACTTGTGTGGG